CCCCTATACGACGTGTATAGGGTAAAGGGAGCACACTAGGAGCGATCAATAAGACTATCTGCTACTACATGATGAGTGTATGGATGATGGAGGGACTACAAGTATATGTAAAAGCCATAGCGATCCCCGACCCCAGCCCAAATGCGCCCGAAGGAGGAATGCGGGGCGCCTAGCTGTATGTAAGTGCAATGCAGAGGAGAATGATGATGGTAGTACAATATACAGAGGAATCGAGACAAGAGAAAAAGGTGAGGGAAAGGAGTTCGCAACAAGAAACGCAGACAGGATGCACAGATGCAGACGCACAGATTCAACAAGCCAACCACCGATAGCAAAAGCCAAAATTCCAACTCGAGCGAGCTAGTAAGGTATACCCCATTGGGAGGAGGGCCAATCGCGCAATGCAAGATCCTCCTTCGAGATGGCGTAGCCGTACGGCGGCGGCGCAAGACCCGGCGTCGAACGCGGCGTGCTGACGCAGTGACGCAGCCCTCGCTGGGTTCGCTCGCGCTCGGACTGACACTCAGGCCGGACGTCCGCACGCCAGCGGGGGACGCCATGCTCGCCAAGCTCATCATCGACATTGATGGCATGCTGAGGCCGGGCACAAGCGCGCGCACCGGTACCGGGTTCGCGATCAGCGTCGGCATGGGCATTAGCGTCATCGGCGCCTGAGCCGATGCCTGAGGCAAGAGCGTTGGGAGCGTGCTACTCCTGCTAACACTCCTGCCATCCGAAACAGGCATGCGACCTGCCATGGCGCTGAGATCCGGCTCGGTCGTGGCGCGACTGAGCGGGCGTTGCTGCTGGATCTGCGCCGAGGCCTTGCCGACCCATAAGCGCCAGCCCAAAGCGTAGCCGAGCGCACGCTCGCAACGGCCAATCTCGCGCGGTGGAAGTCCTGCTAGCTTGGTCCACGCATGGTTCGAATAGGATTTGTTCTGCGAGAACTTGCTCGCGAGAACCAATGCTGCGATAAATGTGCGGCGTGGGTCAAGTAGGGGGATGGGAGATACGGTGCCGGCGGCAGCGTTGACGTTTCCGTACGTGGCTTTCTGCCGGGCGGACTGGGCTGCCATAGGTCGATAGGCGTCTCGGGAGTCTCGCGCGTAAGTAGTAGCAAGATGCCTGTGTCTTCGGCGTCCTCCTTGACGTAGCCGATGTCGGCAGCGAGGACGATGCGGTCGGACTGACCAGCATCACGGTGTCCACAGCCAGCGGCCTCGGCAGCGGCAAGCTCTGGGATCTTGGCCCGGATGCCCTCGATGTAGCAAAGAGCTGACCGGAATACACTTGTAGTTATCCTCAAGCGCCTGAGGACGTCAATGACGAAGCCGCGAAGGTTGGACGCGTTTGCGGCCGGGTTGTGCTCGTCAAAGGTGTCCCCGGCGGTGGCACCGTCGACGGGGGGAAGTCGGGGGCGATGGTAGTTGTGTTAGTGGCGGCGGTGAGTGGGAAGGGACGGGTAGGACGAACGGGCCGGAGACGTGGGCGCTACGGGCGTGTTCCGGTATGTGGGCTGCGAAGACGGCGGGCAGAGTGCCGGTTGGCCATATGTTGCAGAGTGTGTATACTGCAACGTCTGACCTAGCCAGATATTAGCAAAGAATGGTCGAATTTACTTTGTCTGTAAGCCTCACCAACAAGGCCAGAGGTGAGTCGGTTGCGCGTGGCTTGAGCTTGCTCGGGGGTGATGGCGGGGGTGGCGATGGGGGTTTGGGTAGCGAACGAGAGGCCGGCGGGTGTTGAGCGAACTATCTGAGGTGCGATTGGCGGGCAGGAGTATGGCTGGTGGCAGTGGACCCGGGCGCACGAGGCGCTCACGCGGCCGTGGTGGACGGCATGGTGGGAAAGTGTGTGCATCGGTGCAGAGAGACTGAGTGGTGGTTGGTAGATTTGCGGCGAGGCGAGAGATGAGAGAAAGCTTTGAGATAGGGACAAGGAAGTCAGACAAGCGGGACAGCATCAATCGAGGAAGGAGTGTTGTTGTCGCCCAAGATAAGAATAACTGAAAAGCTTAGGACCAAAGCAAAATAGAAGGCGGTGGCGGGACGGCAGCGGACGGGGGCTGCAGATCTCATCGTTAGAATATGCAATGGTTTGGAAAGACCAGGACGAGGACTAGTCGACCCGGTAGGCGCGGAGGCTAGCAGGAAATCGAGCGGATAGGCGGCCCTTTTGGAGGGCAGGGGCGAAATGGAGCCTGAGACCAGCTATACGACTGCAACTGACGAAGAAGTCGAATGGTCGTTCCCCGTGCGTACTGGATCTCCTTTGCAGCTGCGGGCTCGACGTCATGAACGCGGTCCGTCAAGATACATCCCGGAAACTCATGTACAACACAGGAAATGGACATCCAGACAGGTACAAGGAATGGAAAAGTCAATGTCCGTGGACAAATGTAGCGTAGAGTAGCTGAAGATGGCGGTCGGCTTCAAGTTCAAGTTAGGAGCCGTGCGACCTCAACGTTGAACTGACAAGTCGTGTCAGGCACGAACGCCACCATTACCTCTTCAGGAGTTGAGCTTAGAAGTTAGAACAATGGTTGATCCGACGTAAGAGGAGAGCATAGAGTTGGATTCACAGTATCGTAAGTACAAGTACAAGATGATAGACTTCTTCCGTATTTCTTTTCTTCCCCGACAAGCCGGTAGGTACGAGAACATGAGCGCGCAGATAATTTTTTTGTGAGTTACCTTTTCGTGCCAATCGCCAATCGCAGTCGCAGTCCGTATGAGACGCATGAGTCCGTATCAGTCCATCTCGGTCCATGTCAGCCATACTCGCCTAGAAGCCATACCTCACCCCAACAGCGGCGCGCGCCAGCTCGACGAGTTCAAGCTCTGCGTCGACTTCGCCAATGGACGTAGACAATGCCAGGGTGGCGGCGGCGGCGGTGCCGCCGGCCCGCAAAGCACGCTCGGCAGAAGAAGCGTAGAGGACGAGGGCGTTGTCTTGCGGCTCCACGTGATCCTGTGTCGGCGCTGTCTCAACCTCGATGTCGAGAACCCTGTGGTGGGCGGTGAAATTGATGCGCTCCTTGCGATACACGAATTTAAGCATCTGGAGGATCTCCATCAAGTCCGGGGAGATGCGGTTCCTTTTCTTCGTCATCGTGTCCACGCCGGAGGAGAAGAGCTGCTCGCACGGGACGCTCGTGGACTGGGCGGGGAGAACATCCATCGCCATTGCGAAGAGCGTGGGCAGGCGTTCACGGTGTTGCTAGTTGCATCGGAGACATATCAGCTAGGAGTAATCATACAGACGTGAAGATGACTCACATGCCAGAACTTGAGGGTGGGGGAAGTGTCGGATCCATCTTTGTCCTCGGGAAGCGTACTCAGAGAGCGATAATCGTGCCACTCGGCGTCGACAGTGGAGGCGGGCGCATTCTGAGAGGGCGTGGGTGCCACAAACTGTGCTGCGAGATCCGTGCCGTGCTCCGCCATCAACTTGGCCATGTCCTCGAATTCAGAACCGAACGCGTTGCGGATAATCACGCTGCCCGTCGCGCCGTCGTCTGGCGGAGGAGGTTGGTTGACCTGCAAGCGTTGTTGGTATTTGCCGAGCTAATGATCCGATCAGAGATGCGTGCATATAGAGAAAAAGGAATCTTACCCGGGCGAAGAACTTGTCCATCACTGCCTGGCGCGCTTCCGGGGTCCAGTTCGTCAAGAGGTACATATCTTTGATGGCAGGGTTGAGAACTGCAAAAGATGGGTCAGGCTACGATCGATAAGTCGCAAATGAGTACATACGCATCGCGAATGCGTGAGCGGTCGTTTCCTCGCTGCGGACATAATAGCGTGTCAAGAGAGCGATGCCTTCGCCGAGTTGCGCCTCGAAGTGCGGGTAGGCCCGGCGCAGGAATCCCCAGCATGTCAAGAGCAACTCATAGGTACCAATCATGCGGCAGAGAGTAGGAGTCGCACTTGACGTCAGAGTGGTGGTCATCCTGTGAGCCGGCTACAAAACCCCATTGAGAGTATGAGCATAGCGTGAATGAAAACCACACACCTCCAGGATCTTCTTGACGTGCTCGAGAATGGTCCACTCGACGGGCGAGAGGCGATACTTCTTGTACTCGATGTTCTCTGCCTTGCCGAAGAACTCGTTGAAGATCTGGGATCAGGGTTGAGCAAATCATCATGAGGGAGCTAGCGGTTTACTTGCCTCTTTGTAGTAGAGGATCCTTTCGATGAGAAGGTAGGTTGAGTCCCAGCGGGTGGGGGTGTCCAAGAGTGGCTTCTTCTTCTTCATCTTGTCCTCGTCCTTAGCATTCGGCCCGAGCCGGGCGTTGCGCTCGTCGACAATTGCGAAGAAGGCCTCGAGAACCCGCGGGTTGCGCTTCAATGCCCTGAAAAACGCGCGGGCAATTGACAATGGCTGACGGGCGATGGCGTCCTCGATCGTCTGATGAGATTCATCATCCGCAGTCAGCATTGCACCCTGGAAAGGAGCCACCACGACCGTGTCAGACGGCGGCGCGCCAATGTGCTTGATGACAGCTTGCACGGCGAGGTTCAAGACATGAGCAAAACACCTTGGGACAATGATAGTCAGCATATGAGGACTAAGGTGTAGGGACCGACGAACCTAATGCGGCTTTCCTTGGGGTGGAAGTCAGGGTTGTGGCCGTGGCGGCGCAGCATGCCAGCGAGGGTTGACATCATCGAATCATTGTTCGACGCGTTGTCCATCGTCAGGTAACCAACCTTATAGAGTTGGTGAGATGCAGAGCAATACGTAGTTCGTAACGTACCTGGCGCGAGATGCCAACACGATCGAGGATGGCCTTGACGAGAACGGCCATGTTCTGGCCCGTATGAGAGGAGGGAAAGTAATGGTACGCGATGACTTCTGTCTTGAGCTCGATACCAGGATCGACAACGGTAGGGTCGGTGCGTGCGAGGTAGTGCGCGGTCACCGCGAGGTACGGACGTTGGGTGAAGTCTGTCCAAGCGTCCAATGTCAACGAGATACGCCCGAGAGCAGACTGATTGTAAGCGTGTGTTAGTATCAATGTTGACCGATAGCAATGGATCGGACATACAGAGAGGCGGAGAGCAAGTGCGGCATGGCGAACAGCCCAATCTTTGACAATGAGGTGACGCATGTGAGTGCGCTTTGGGATATCCGAGTCCCTCAGGCTAGGCCGGAGCATACGAAGAAGTGCACGAAACTCGGGGCGTTCGATCGTTTGGATGCTCTGGATGTATCATGTTAGTGTGCTTGATGTTGAAGAGAATATATGCGAGCTTACCACGTCGTTCGCCGTGATGAACCTGATGAGGGCGTTGCGGAACGAGTCCTGGCTATAAGCCTCGACCTGGGTCTCGTTGCTGATATGTTCGACGTCGACATTGTTCGAGTAGATGGCGTGCATTGGCCAGGTGCCTTCACGGATGCCGTGACCGATGGAGTCGGGATGATGCTTGGCCAGATGTCCGCGCTTGGTGGTCGTGCTGGAGGTCTTCGAATACTTGAAGTTCACCTTCTTGCCATTGAGGGTTGCGCCGCTTGTTGCGCGATCACGGTCCCTGTCATGACCATGATTAGCCTGGACTCACTAGGAAGATTGGTCAGCGTAACTTACCTGCAAAGGTCACACGCGGCAAACGCAGGGCTTTCGCTGTGTGAGTCAATATATCAGTTGACAATGAAAGCAAGGAATATCAAAGATAAGTACGCACATGCAGTGAGTGCAGTAGTCGTGAACCTTGCCGTTAACCTCGAGCGACTGGAAGAAATGTTGAACGTCGGCAGTGCGATGAAGACCGGTGGCCGTTGGGCCGATGTTCGTAGCGCCAGGGTCCAGAAGAGCCTCAGCAGCCTCGAGCTCCTCAAGCTCGATGTCGTCGAGTTCGATATCTTCGTCCGAGGACGATGAAGGAGATGGGCTAGTCTCCTCATGCTGAGTTACTTCAGGGGCGACGGCGCCGCCGCGGCCGCGGCCACGTCCACGGCCACGACCCCTTCCCCTGCCACGTCCGCGAGCTTCAACAGTAGCCATGATGAAAGATATTGCAGATGGTTGTCGTCAAGAACTGAGATACGCAGAGTGAGCCCGGCAGACGACATAGCTTTCGAGTGGTTTAAATACGTACATATCGGAGTTCTCCGAGCCCAAACGGCAGAGAGTCCGGCACTGCACGGAGTAGACTTAGCCCCAAACATCCCGTAGTTCAGCGTACTGGACCTTGCACACCTTAACGCCAAGATAGAAACCCTCAAGGTTGTCGTCGCTCGAAGCAATGCGGATCCCGCAATGAGATGGACCCAGTGGAACCAGTCATCGAGTACCCACTGCAGGCCGTTTCAGGTGGTCTTCGTTGAATTGGCGGTGCGCACGTCCTGGTCGTGTATCCGTCATGAGACGATGCCGGCGAGCCGAGGTGGTGTCTCGGTGCCATGGCTAGACGTGCTGGATGAACGGCGAGGGACGGCATGACACTATAATGTGCTTGCTCAGTCTTCGTTGAATACAAAGACGCTCGCACACCGGGTCTGCATTTGTCAAGAGGTGGAGGCGGGCGGATTGCAGGCGAACATTCGACGGGTGGTCCAGTGTGGCCTCGTGTAGGCGGAGTCTTCGTTGAATGCGATGGCGCTGAAAACTGGTTCAGTGTCCATCGAGAAGGCCGGCTCGCGATGTGCCCTTGTACTCGAGCGTAATCGTGGTGGGCGATAAAGCACCGATTTGTGTACCAGAGTCGAAAGCGGTCTTGAGACGCCAGTCAGTTTACGTCCTATGCTGCGAGATGAATGTCACACACCGGCCGAGCTCCACAATACAGGGTCGCAGTTTAGGTATGGCAAGATGTATCGGCGACACTTCACACCGGCTCAAGATAACATACCTTATCCGAACACATGACCTGAATTCAACGAAGGTTGCCATACACTCAGAACGTACAGGAGATCTGTATCAAGATGTTATTTGAGCCCCACGTAGTAAGAAAAACTGGCCGCACCCAAACAACGCCTTGTAGTTTGTTGAGGCATGACTGTCAACTATCTTCTGTACCACTCTCGCGAAGCGCGCAAAGCTAGGGCTGCTGCTGCTGCTAATGCGCGTCAGCAAGCAGTCGGCACCACTGACTCCGACTCCCTTACATCTTATCTGACTGGCTTATCATTCTCCGACTGCGATGATACGTCCAGTATCGCCTCCGACACGGCGTGTAGCACCGGAGACTATGACCCGCCACAGTACGAGGCAAGCGCTCACATCGGCACCATACCAAAGCCTCCTCCATACGAGACGCCAAATGACAGCCTCAGCGAGGCCGAGTACGAGTGGGATTACGATGAGGAGGTGGAACGGGCAGAGCTCAAGTATCTTGTGTCCAGCACTCCGCCAACGTTGGCAGATGAGCTGACGTTAAAGCGCGAATCTGTGCGCTTCGTGGTGAGCAGTGACAACCAACGGCCGATGCATCGACTGACCAAGGGTATTAGCATCGGTCCGTATACTCTCAGGCGACAATGTTGCGGTACTGCGGCCACGATCCGGAGAGACTCTGCAAAGAGCTCAACACAATCTTAGCGCAGTCCCATGTGCACGGATCGGGATACGAGCTTGCCGATACGCTCCGGGATGTCGAATATAAAGGCACCGACACTGCAAGCAGCATTTACGCCAGCATCCTCAGGAGGGACGCTCGAATCACGGAGAAGAAGAGGAAGATGAGAGAGAAGAGGCGGAGGAGGAAGGAGAAGCGGGATGAAAGGAGGGCAGCGCGGGAACAGGAGCGAAAGGCCAAAGCTGAAGAACATGCATCAGTACGCTACAGTTCTAGGTGAATGGGCAAACAGTACTCACACATTCAACAGTCTGCGCTGTTCTGGCACGAGCTGTTCTGTCTGTCCCCAAAGATCGCCGCCACCATTGTTGCAAAGGACTATGCTGAGCTTCAACAGGGATTAGCTTAAAGAAATCGAATCACACACTACGTAGGAAGTGGCTGGCACGCATATGTCCCTTCAATGTACTTTGTCTTTGATGAATACGATGGTGGTTGGCTTTCAGGTCGAGGATGCGTGTGTGTCATCTTGTCACGGCGCGCGAGTCCGAGGCCAACGCGCGAACGGCACCTTAAGCATCCTCTCTACGACTTCCATCATCCTGCAATCCTGCTGCGTGCATACCTGGTATCAGGCAGCATCAATACTTCTTGGATTTCCCTTGAAAATATGCCTCAATGAAAGATATGACGTGGTCATTGGACACGGTGTCCAACGCGTGGGAAAGTGACTTGCCATGTGTTGGCAGATTCTGCCAACACATGGCAGATTGATGGCGTCAAGAGCTCATCCAGTCCAACACTATACTCTTCCAGTCAGTTTGCGCATTGCCATGTCCGTCACCGTCGACAATCTCAAGCCCCGGACAGATAGGCTCGGTTGAGGGATAGTCTGAGTTCGGCCGCTTTTTGCCTACTGAATTGATGTTCTTGCGCTGCATTCTGGATCCTGGTGGGCATGTCGAGCCGTCAGATAATGACGTGCTCTCGCCGTCATGCAACTAGCGCTCGAGCTCCCTCTGGTGGGACGGTGTGTGTCGAAGCTGATCAGCTGTCGGGTTCATCGGAATCTGTAGTGAACCTATCGACACCGGCGGGGCTTGTAGCTTGCAACCGGTCCGTGTCTGAGACCACCTGCATAACATGAGATCCAATCTCAATTTGAATACCGTGAGCACTCGCAGGTTTGCATATAATCATGCTTGAAGAAAGTAAGGTGACAAGTTTGTGCTAAGCTACCATGCCTATCTCAATCACCCTCTCTGGCTGCCGTTCTCATCATCCACGGCATGCGAAAGCACTTGCCGCCGCCAAGTCCGCCGCGTCGCGCCCTCAACATTCGAAGCATCCCAAGTCCCGCTCGAACAAGCAGGGTATCACTGTCGTTGTCAATGTCTCCACGTCGGACGACGAAGATGAAGATGATCTTGTGGACGCACCCTCCTGCGACGGCAACGACTCCGCTGTGGAACAAGATCTCAGCCAAAAGCGTGATGGTAACGGCAGACGTGATAGTGTTTTCTCGGCCGATAGCGATGAAGATCGTGGGGACGCCGGCGTTGCTGGAGCAGGCTCCTCCACTGGACCCGATATGACTCGCGACGCTACCCGTGATGATCATACCACCGCTGCTGCTCATCTCAATGGCCATCGGCGTCCCGCTGCATACTCATCCTCACCTAATTGGGATGCCGACGACTATAGCGAAGGTATGTCTTAACTGCACTGTTTCGATCATACCATATTCTGACCCTGCATAACTCGATACCCAGTGTTCCCCAAGTCCATGCCGATTACCGCTGGCTGCTTCGCCGACAAAGAAGACTATGTTTATCCCGAAGATTATGAACACGGCCACGAAGCGGTCAAGGTGGCGCTCGAGCGCATGGCTTACATCAGTAACCCTCGCAACCTCGCGGAAGAGGTTGATTGTAAGAGGAAAGCAGTAGCGGCCTTGGTATGTACCTCTCTGATAGCAAAGTAGACGTATGTGATGCTGATTGTTCGTCGCAGCATGGTGTAATCTATTCGAGGGGCCTTGCATGGGCTGAGGCTGGCAGCTGCCCTCAGAAGCTTTGTGACCTTATTGTTGAAGACTTCGCACAGTCTTGTCAATACGGTTCCACACACGAGCTCAGAGCCGCCATCATGGCATCTACCGGACGCATTCCCGAGGCTGAAGGCATTGCGCCCGAGGCCAAGCCCCTGAGCGAGCAGGAGAGCAAGTTATTGGCCCGTTTGATTTGCCGGGGAGACATCTTGCGTTAGTTCAACCCAGTTGTAGTGTTCGTCAGAAAAGGTGTCATCACCTGTAGGGAATAGCGCAGCAGTCTTATGAAATGTACATAGTATTGTATCGTCGTTGCGGCAGAAGCAATCCAATCGAAGCGTATGAGAAACGCAAAGGGGCCAGAACGTTACAGCCTTACAGGCCGCCGACGGCCGTCGGTCCATGCTAGCTCCCGTGTGTGAACTCTAGTCTCGTGGAAACAGATGTTGGCGGCGTGTTTGGGTTGACGCTACTTGCTTCCTGCCTTTCACGTTGTTACCCCGCCCCCCGTGTACGATACGAGTCTTCAAAAATGGATACCGTGAGCCTCCAACACAGATTACTGGTGTCGCAAGGCTCATTGCCTAGGAAGTCTGATTTTTCTTTGATTGGTGGGCTGTTCGAGTGTGGTCACCATCTGGGTTCTGGGACTTGTGGTACGTCGTAATGAGGTGTTTCCCTCGTACATGTTCTGATTACCCCTGTAGGGCACTGTCATGCTGGTATTAACGCGCTTACTGGAGAGCCCGTGGCCATCAAATTCGAACCTGATCACCTCGAACATCGGCTGGTTGAACACGAAGCATCAGTCTATAAACACCTTACCGATTGCCCCTACGTCCCTCGTCTTCACTGGTTCGGTTCGGACTATGATTGCGACATTCTCGTGATGGACCTGCTTGGACCATCCCTCGAAACTCGATTCACGGAGTCCGGACAAGGCTTCTCTGTGGGGTCGGTCTTGAGTTTCGGAATTCATCTAGTATGTCTGCGGGCGTTTATACTATCTAGTTCATTCTAAACAACGCTGATACTCTACACCAGCTGCGCGCGCTTGAGGCATTTCATGACCACGGATACCTTCACCGAGATCTCAAGCCCGCCAACATACTTACAGACCGCAACAAGAATCAACCGACCTTATATCTTGTTGACCTCGGTCTCGCTCAGTCATATCTTCTCGCTGATGGCCAACACGTTTCTGCTGCCACTCGCAGCTTCGCAGTCGGCACCTCACGGTTCTGTTCCGCACGAGCACATGGGCGTCGGCGGCAGTCTCGTCGTGACGACCTCGAGTCTCTCGCCTATGTACTCGTGTATCTACTCGGGGGCACTTTGCCATGGGTCAACATGACGACGGCACGGGACATTTGCACTGCAAAACTGCGGGCAAGCCCCACACAAGTATGTTCAGGCTATCCGCGTGCCTTTTCGGAGCTGCTCTATCATGCGCGACACCTGAACTTCACCGACCGGCCGGACTACAGCCGCCTACGATCGCAGTTCGAGCATGATCTTCTCTCGACGAGTAGCCGGCATGTCGCCACATTGCCCTCTGACGATGTTCTCCACCCTGCGTGCGCAGGAGAGATTTCTTCGGGGAGACTGGACACAACATTCGCCGGTCATGCTTGTGTATGAAACCCACTGCCTTTCCCATGTACGAATTGCTGACATTGCCTTAGTCTTCGTTAAGTCTGCCAATCCGGATCTGATTCGCGCTAGAGCATGCTCGCTCGAGCTCTGTTTCCATGGGCGCCATGCCCCTTGTTTTCTCGTGAGTTCTTCGAAATGGCCGCTGTCATTCGCCATCACTCCCAACCTTTGACAATGTTGATGGCTCACTAGTTGTATAGTCATGTTCTCACATTGCTATCTACAATCCGCTGAAGCCCGCTGGCTCGCAAGTCCGTCGATCCTTGTCAACATGGAAACCCACCTTCAACTCACCCTCACCTTCGAGCATAGCTGTTCTGTCTGATCTCTCGCCTTGGTTGGTTGCCTTCGTTCATCGTTGCCCCACAGAGCACCCCTGCCTGTAGCCCTTCGCTGCTACTGGGACGCCTAGTGGGTGCATCCGCCCTTTCCATCGGATACTCGCCACTTTTCATCTCTCGCCTATGTACATCTTATAACGACCCCTACGTGTATCATCACCAACTCCCCTCATCTACTTACATATACTACGTAGCATTCTCGCTACATTCTTCGGCTGTACGCACCCTCCTCACGCTGCGATGGGCTTTCAAGATCAAAATGCCCCGATTTGGTCTAATACGGCTCATCAATGGTTTCAAGCCAGACCAAACCATGTTATGAGCCATGTCAAATCAAGCCAGACTGGTATTGGCTCGGACAGCAGCGGAGCGAATATTGCGCAGGCCGGATCATTCTTCATCGGAACGAGGGGTTCGGCCCGGTTTCGAGCAGCAGCCGAGCCGCGGCATCACTACCAGGCGAGACCGAAATTGCGATGGGATATCGCCATTGCATCCAAGTGCCCGAAGGATGCCCGAACGCCGTCCTGAGTCTCCAAGAAAAGAATATACTTGCCGCAAAGAAAGCCTATCGAACATGGTTTGTGGACATCGGCAACGTCAACCCGGTTCGAGGCACGGACGGCGCCGCGCGCGCTTGACGGCGTTGCCACGTTGCAACTCAATTAAGCGCCCTCAGGCTTCAGGCACAGATGGATCTGCGTGCGCAATCGGTTGACGCACGGCTCCTTCGGCGCCGAAAGTGGGCCAAACGTTGCTCGGACGGGGCTTGGAGTTCTGTAGGAAGACGCTGGAAGGGGTGGAGGATGAGATGCTCACGTACGTTCTATGGAACAGGTCGAGCATCCGAGAGGGGTCGGGGAGAAGGGATTGGAGCGATTGAGCCGGAATGATGCAGGCCAGCACGGAACGCGGGCGGGCGGTCGAGACCCCCTTTGCGATCTGGGACCGAGTATATTCGACCGGCTCAGCGCTTTATAAAGACTGGCCTGCGCCGTCTCCCATTTCCGCTTCGCTCTTACTCCTTTCGCATCAAACAACAGACAATGCTCGACTTTGCACCCACTGGCAACTACGACGGCGCCGTCCTGTACTCGACCAACCACGCCGCCTACCCGCCCGTCGCCCAGTCTCCCCAGGCACACTTGCTCCCGTTCCCCGCGAAGAAGTCTCCCCAGAGCAGCCCGCAATACAGCCCTGCGTCCGTGCACGGCTTCGATCCCTTTGCGGAAGACAGCAGCGACGACACGGCCTCCAGCTCGGGCTCGGACGTCAGCCGCGCATCGTCCCTGGCAGATTTCTCTCGCCAGCGCGACCAGGATTACCGTGTCGCCGCCTGGGTGAACTACGGATCGTCCTGCGTAAGTACACATCTGCCAGTGTTACTTTACATATCTAACAACGTCTACAGGCCTACAACCCAGCATCATTATTACCGCAGCCGTCGCCGTACCAGCCATCGCTGTATACCCCTATGTCTGGCAATACCCACTACCACTCGCGTACTTCATCCAGTTCGAGCGCCAGTTCATCCCGTTCGGCATTTAGCGTCGATGACGAGCCCTACGTGATCTACAGCACGCCGCTTCCCGGCGCACCGCCAGCGCCTGCCCCCGCCGCGCCACCGGCTCCTGCCGCGCACGTGTTGGGCCCGATCGCGCCCCCACGCCGCCAGCACGGGCAGGCGAAGAGCTTGAGCGTTCCTGGACCGGTCTCTACGCCTCGCGTCCAATCGAGCGGTGTACCCATTCACCTGCCGCACCGGCGCTACGTCTCGCTCTGCTCCATCCGCGAGGAAGACGAGACGCGGATGTAGAGTTGCGAGTTTTTGTCATCTTTCGTTGCGCGTTTTCCTCGTCGCCATCATCTGTTCTATACTCGATACCACCCGGGCAACCTGTACCATCACAACACATCCAAGGACTCTGCCCCCGCACGTACCTGCTATCGCTGTCTCCTGTCGTCATCGCTCGTCTTATCCTCTATTCCTATTCCTCCCTCAGGTCATACAGGGGTTTAATACTGGGCTCCTATTGTATTTCTAGTCAATATTTTTCTGTTTGTCCTTCAGATACAACACCCCCCTCTTTCCCCCATCCCTCCTTCGCTGTTGCTTGTCGCAAAAGGCTGCTATCGTACCAATGGATCCGCCTACTGCCTGGAGTTACTTCTTCTCTTTTTCGACGGATATGGATACGCATAGCTCGCATTGCTCCCTGTGTTCCGCAGGGTATACACCATCGATACCATCGCTTTATTTAGCAACTCTTTGCTGCGTTGATCGCTTCGGTTCCTTGTTTGCATGGTAGGGTCTTTTCCACGTCGACTACGCTCGCGCATTGTGCCCGCTCGCCACGCTCGCCATGCGGAACCGAACGTACTGCTGCGTACGGTGGCGCTGAGGCAGTGTATACGGCGGGTCGACTTGGCGACAAGTGCGCGCTCAAAGATATCGCATCTAACCTTAGGCGAGAAAGCTTGGGAAACACGTGCGTGCCCAGGTTATTGTTGTCACCATATTTCTTCTGCTCGCACAGCACGACGTTGAGGGTCTTCGCATGCGATTGCGGACGACGACGTATAGCGTATCTAACTCAACGTCGAACGGCCTTCTCATCCCGCCGGTGGAGCACCATACTCACCATACGCACATCCGCGGCGCCCGAACGACGAACAAGCTCAAAGCTGCGTCAGACCGAAGCACACCGACCAGCACCCCATCCCCACGGCCTCGTATCCCTATCGAGCGCCATCGCATCCATCATCCTCACCCTCTTCCCCATTCTAGCGCCCATCCAGAAGGCCTCGATCTTCGCGGATGCAAGGCTTGGGATGGAGGGTGGATGAAGAGCGCCTGGGCGCCCACTCGCACTCGCACAGTCATACGCTACTGATTAAGCTCAGCTAGCGTACGATCACGGCGGTACGCGGCGTAGGCGCCGTATGTACTGGTTTGATGGCATGTTGGACTTGGCCTTGCGGATAGATTTCTATAACTATAACTCCGGTGCCTACACCTGGAGGGCTATCCCTACAGATCCCTACACGCGCACCTGCAAGGAACACGCCGGATCCCTTGACGTCTACTATATTTCCACCGACAATCGCAGCAGTGCCCTCAGCGATACCCGCTCGAGAAAATATCAGCTAGCTGGTCGCAGTACTCGCCGACGAGGGTGGACATCGATATCGATGCCGACCGGTGGGATGTGGCTCGCGCCTGCGTGTATGCGCGCGCCGACGGCTTGGAGGGGATCCGGAGTTGTGCTCGTTGGACGCCGGTTATTCTGAGGCGCGAGGGTTGCCGGATGTCCGAGAGGATCACCCGTTGACGAGAAGTGTACGTGCAGGATCATTCCGCGAGGTTTGCCATGGCTGGCGTGCGAGTTCATTGTCAAGCGCGCGTCGTAGTGCGGGTCGACGTCCGTCGCGCGCAGAGGCCGAAGCGCTGCCGAGGCGTCAGCTTGGCTGCCTAAAGGATATGCGGCGTTATTTACCGGTCCGAGTACTACTTGGATCTTACGAATGGAATGGGTTTTGCACGCAGCTATGGCATGTCTGCACGGCGAGACCTCTGTGAGCGCTTGAGAGAGCCATGTTGCCGAGGCGCGTCAAAGCAGATGACCGCGTCGCGGAGCCTCGCACCGCACCTCGACCTTCTCTCCGCTGGCTTCGTGGAGTTGATCTTCGCACATCCTCGTCATCATGACATGGCAGGATCTGTCGTCGGATACCTGTTGACATGTCGGAAATGAAAGAAGTTCGGGCTCTGACAGCTTGATCTCAAGATTTGATTCGCGCTGCTTTCGTATCGAGCCGTGCAGATCATAGAGCATTGTGCTAGTACAACACACTCTCCTCAAGGCTATCCGAGACCTTGACCAGCTCATAACAACCTCCAAGTTTACTTGAGGTTTCAAGGTAAAAAGGCAGACATGAGCTGCATTATGCATGTACAATCCAGCGAGCGCAGATTGTAGCGCCTCCGAAGCACTGGCAATCGGTTAAGAAATGGGATGAGCACCACTTACTTGTGCGACAACATACCTTATGTAGGGTACCGAGTACGCAGATAGGGGGTTTGTGCAAGCAAAGCACAATTGGAGTAGGTTTACGAGAGAATTCGCGGTACCGCGCAAGTCGAGGCGCGCGTCAAGTTCGACGCGTCGCGACGCGTCCCCGCCCCACGGTGACGTCACGCGTCATCCCCACCCACCTCCTTCGACGCGGCCGCCCGCAAGCAAGAAGCACTACCACCACCACCATCCACCCACATCGCTTGGATCTATCTTGAACTTACCTGACCTGCAATGCCAGCTGCAACCCTTGGAGAGTGTAAGTCCTTGCGCCGGTCTTCTGAGGTCATGAGAAGAGAGTTACGCGGCTGACACGGTTTATGCGCTACAGCGGACGCGAAGTTCCCAACCAACACTGACGACGGTATCCCCCCGCCCGCAACAGCAGAGAACCCCGGTCAGGTGTACCCCAAATCTGATCCCTCACGTACGTGTATGCCTTTTCCAGGACCTGGTACAACTGGCTGATCATCGACGTCCGAATCTCAGCGGCACCTCGCGGTACCGTTCCTGGAACAGCACAGAGCGAAGAGAAAGCCGCAGAGAGCGAGCGCATGGCAAAGGCAAAACGTCTCGTGGAAGAAGTGACCGGCGATGCAGACCCACAGAGCGTGGACAGCGGAGGCATGTTCAAGGAGTGAACGTAAGGGCTGATAGGACGTGAGCGATGGACTCAATCAATCGTGTACAACTGTAATCGCAATCTATATTCAAAAGGCAACGCAATCATCTCATTGTGAAGAGACGTACTGCATACGCGGAATGGCACGGCTATCTTCTCTCAGGCAGGATCGACGCACGTAGTCTTGTGACCGTATAAAGTCTCGGAAGGCTTGAGTTGCGCGACAGTCTATATCGGGATACGTGCGACTTCAGGGGCGAAGAGGGCTGATTGTTCTGTTTGCAGTGGATTCGCGTACAGCAGAAGGCACGGAGGTCGTAATATGCGCGGTTAGAGTGCTTGTATACCAATTATGCATCTCACAAAACGTCTTTGACTAGATCACGCTCGACATGCGTGATATCATCTGGCAGCAACAGGAACTGACGGAGAGCAGAACCAGGTACGGCGTACCATAGGCGCTCATGACGGGCTTCCGTATCCCTGCCTCTTTACGTTTGAGAGCGGGAGATACGTGTGCCACATCTGTAGAAAGTGAACACCGCGAACAGAGCAACGGTATGCATGTGTGTATCTAACCTGTGGCGAAGGGCCAGTAGAGTGTGCCAGCTTGTCTTAGAGAGGGAAATCACAGGCGCGGGAGGGTATGTGGCGAAGAACTTCTAAGAAGCCATCTGGAGTAGGGATATGGTGTTGGCGCCACAGGCAGGAAGCCTCAACACCGGTATATGCACCGACTTTTATCACTGCATGCAAGCGATGGAGGGGTACTCGGCTTAGTGCGTGAGTGTTGATGTCGGCGCCAAGCATAATGCCAGCCCTATGTATTGAAGGTAGCGGAGCAGGCGCCTTGAGATATGATCTGGTGGACATCCTGAACAGAACTTTGGTATAGCTTGCGTACACCGATGGTCGTGGTGAAGACGACGTAGGCAGAATACTTCGTGAGGCTCAGAACGACACTGGAATACGTTCCTCCAAGACCGAGTCGACGTTGCCGTTCTGATCGTCGGTAGTAGGGGAAAGCGTTGCCGCTGGAGAAGAACTCGAGGAACCACTCTCGCGACAACTCAAATGGCTGAGTAAAGTTGATAGAGCATCTCAAATCGTATTCCGCCACATGTTGGGCTGCCAGACAACAATATTCATCCGATAGACGACTGTCAAGTTCATGAGAATTTGCAACTAAGCCTAGAGGCTCTGGATTCCTCCCTAGGTCCGTAGGTATATGTAAACATCGTATGCGGTCGTGAAACGAAACAACAGTCGTCTAGAGGCATGTAATGGGCGCACCACACCCGAGAGCATCCCTGAAGAACAATGGGTTAGCGTACTCAAACGATATCCACCAGCACATTGCAGGATGAAGCTCGTGCGAGCCATGCGCGGAAACCTGAGAGCCCGGTGCCAAACGTGTGGGCGCTCACTCGATATGTGGGAAAATATACACCATAAGCATCCCACTCCATTCATTGTGACCAGTACGCATACTGTGGAGCGCTGCCGCACTCCTACGAGACCGACAGAGCGAGAGAAAGCAAGTACTCACTCGATGGCATCCCGATCACCTGCTGTCTCCCTCTACAGGCGGCGAGTCCTCCATTGCGCTCGGAGTAGTGCCGATCGTGGCTTCTCCTGCCTCACCCTCCCGCATCCGTTCCGGCGCGCCCTGGGCATCTACGCTCGGACCGCTCCCCTCGGTGTGACCATCTTCACCTGCTCCCTCTCCCGCTTCCTCCCCTGATCCCACTCCACCCTCATTGCTCGCGACGTGTACAGAGCGCACAGATCTTGAGTCTTCGTGACCGGACGAGCGCACGGACGTCGCATCAGTCACAGATGTCGGCTCGGAAGACTGCGTTCCCGAGCCGGAAGCGGAGGAGAGCACTGCAGAGCTCGAAGCTGTACTGCGGAAGCTCGGAGGGCGCGAGAGCGGTGGTCGCGGTGACACGATACCCGTATGCGAGAGCAGCGGTACGGTAAATCCTGCCTCCGACATCTCCGGATTAGGCGATATGGGAGAGTGATCGCGGCGCATGGCGGTGGCGAGTAATGGCGGCTCGGGCGATGCTATCGCGACGGCGAACGGCGGCGGAATCTCGTCCACCTCGTCTATCGGCTCCGGCACGGTTACGGGCACCTCGTCGTCCTCTTCTGCTTCGTCGTCTGGCAACACCTCCGCGTACGAGGTGTCCACGCCTGGTGCAAGACGATAGCTCGGCGGTGGCACGATGCCTGGGAAGTACCGCGGGACGAATGTGAGTGGGCCTGGTGGCGCAACTGCGCGCATAGAAGGACCAGAGCCAGAACCGGCGATGGAAGCCTCGTCGTCAAACGTGTGGAAGGATGCGTTGTCTGAGTTCCAGTAGGCACGTTCACGCTCGCGGCGGTCGCGCTTGGCAGCGCGTCTGCGTCGTCGGATAATACTGCCTGCCACGCATAACGCAATGACCGCGATAGTACCGACGGAGCCTCCGATTGCGCCAACAAACGTTGCGGTGTTACTTCCCGAGGACGAAGACTTGCTGCAATGGAAATCAGCAGATGACAATCTAAATAGTGATCGTTATCTTACTCGTTGGATGACGAGCCTGCTGGATCCGAGTCGGTAGAGTTTGCCGACTCTGAAGCGTCGGCTTGTGTGACGACGATAGAATCCAGCAAGAAGACCGAGTTAGGCCCGAGGTCCATACGAAATGTATGCTGGCCCTCTGATAGGTCAGTTTGCGAGAAGATCGTAGCGTTAGGTTGGAAGCCCTGGTCTTGGGGCGAGCCATCATGCAAGAAGTTGCCGGCAGGTTGGCCGTCCAAGGTAAACGTGAGGTTCGTGAATGTTGGCGTCATATTCGCATTGGCCGGTACGCTCAGAGGTAGTATGCAGTTCACGTAGAGTGCGCTTCCTGTACGTATCGTTGAGCAGAGATGTAGGCGAGAGAAGCTGAGCACATACCGCTGAAGTTGAACTGGACGAATACAGGGTGATCCACGAACTGAGGATCGTCGCTGTCAAACCTTGACGTGGTGAAAGGGTTACCGGTCTCCACAGCAGCGGCCACACCTGTAGTGCTGGCGACAAAGGCACGCGGTACGAATCGTCGACGGCCACCCTTGCCAGAGTCGTCCTTGTCGCCTGAACCACGTTTGTCGTCGTCATCGCCATCATCGGCGTCACGGCCACCGTCGCTGTCACTGTCACTGTCGCGATCGTCGGAGTCGGGGTCAGAGTCGTCGGCGTCTTTATCGTCGCCGTCGTCGGCATCCTGATTGTCGTCAGAGTCGCCCTTCCCGCTGCTCCGGTCATCATCCACGTCCGTACTAGACGGCGTGCGGGACGGCGAAGATGAACCGGATGTGGATGTAGGGACTGAAAGCGAGGAGCTAGGGCTCCCGTCGTCGTCGTCGACGTTCGGTAGAACGTGCAGCCCGTGATGCCAGGTGCCGTTGAACGCAACGGCGTGATCTTGTGGAGCAAGACAGTAGTCGCAGCCAGAGACATTGTTGGAGGAAAACCACCAGTTAGAAGGAGAGTAGATGATGGTCATGTTCATGTCGTCCATAGTGTAGTTTGTCTGCGCTGCGCGCGCGCCCAGTTTACGACGGTCAAGCACAAGGGCCAAAGCAGTTAAGCAGACGCCGGACAGAAAGAGTCTCCTGTACGTCATACACATCAGCATAGCGCGCTTGCATACCGACGAGCAATGGTGATCTCTTGCACTCACCACATATTTAGAGCGAGCGATTGATGACTAGGGTATGAGGGAGAGACGACGATGTGCGTCAGCACATACGAGGGTGGGAAAGGAGATCTGGCGAGGAAGTGGCGGGTGGTACTTAAGTAGGGCAGTTCAGTGGGCACCAATTGCAGATCCTGAGAGAGCGAGTGAGAAGAGCCGGTGGGATAAGAGCGTAGTCAAACGTCCGACGTTCACAGCGGCTCCCAGGGAATTTCTCTCGCCTCCACCACAAGCCGGGGAAGCCGTCATAGGGCAATCGCTCGTCGTATTGCTAGTACGAGGATTGAATCCTGAGTCCATCCGAATTATCTGCTGTCGGGCCGCGATTGGGTGGCGAAGTCATAGGGAGGCCCTCGTAGCCGAGGTTCAGGCGCCAATGAACTCGCGCCAATAGAGATGGCACCATGGGAGCGAATCAGTACCAGCACAGGACTGCCTGGCTCACGCGCAAGGGTCGTCAATTCGTAAAGGCAGCCGCACGACTGAGTATCACGCGCTGTCCGATTTCAAGACCAGCGGTCGTGGTGGTAGCAAGCAAAGACGCCGTGGGAATCGCCATCACTGGCATCGACGACACTGTATTGCGTCTCCCAATCCGACCACCATCGTCACCCAGCAGCACTGGTTTCGTCTATCATCTTTGGCTCTACCATCTTGGCTTTTGGTAGAGTTGAACTTGGCTGGGTGTGCGAACCGCGAATCATCTGTGGGTCCTGGCAACATCGGAACTCAACTAGGCACCCCTGCAGCTTGCTGTGGCGCTGCGCGTCGTGTACCTGGCTCGGGCGGGTGCTTATACGTCGTCGTATACTCTAACTACTAGGTCTTCTGAATAGCGGTCGTTCCTGTTCTATATGTCTTCTGTACTCCCAAAGTTTACGAGATCGGTGGATGGCACGATTCCCGTCCCTGCTTTGTTGTACCACGATGAAGAGACGTATGCGGAGCAAGATGCTGTCGGAATATATGACGGGTAAGCGAACTTACCCCTTAGATCGTGTTGAACGCCTATGATCGTTATGCGATTCATTTGCTCTTTCGGGTGTACCCCTGCTCTGTCCTGATCCGCCGTATGGCTAACCATTGGTTCGGGATGAGGATCGGGCCTGAAGGCGTACTATGTTCCCTAAGCCCGTCCTGCATTACCCTTGGCCCGTCTCCCAATGAAAGGTACTGATCGTCCTACTAGGACACAAAAAGCACCTAATCACCAGAACGGCACGGTTTTCGTCACAAGCCACCGTCTCTTCTACGTGGACCTGGCCAAACCGCACTCACGCTCGTTCTCCCTCGACCTCGCTCATGTTATCCGAACAGACTACTACGCCGGTCTCTTCACGTCCTCTGCAAAGGTTACGCTTTATTTGTCCATGAGCGCTGCGGGGCCGTCTCTAGAAGCAGGCGAGAGCTGGGTCTGCGAGGTCTGCAACTATCGCAACCCCCCAGGCGCAAGCCTATCAGGTGCCAAGTGCACTTTATGCGGGGTGCCTCGCGCTAAGACTGGCTCGTCCTCGTCCACGGTCGCTTCCCCGTCACCGAGGACAGGGCAGAACGCGCAGTCGGCGTCTGCATCCGTTACACCGGCTCACACCCCAGCACTGGACGCGCAAACCGAGATCGCGTGTCCCGCTTGCACGTTCCTCAATCACCCATCCTTGCGAGAGTGCGAAATATGTGGCACGGGGCTTCCTCGCGCTCCTGCCAAGTCGGCACCGGTCTCGCGACCAGCGTCTCCGCCCATGGAGGAGGATTTGAACACTTCCGGGGAGAGCATGATGAAGCTCAGCTTCAGAAAGGGTGGCGACAAGATACTGTACGCTGCGCTGCGCAGGAGCCTTCTTGGGAAGGCCTGGGAGGTATTACATCTTTATCTAAGTATGCCTGTTACCGTGGTCTCATGACCTTCACACAGATCAAGCATGCGCCCGCCACCGCCCAGTCTAGTGCGGAGTTATCCGGTATAGGTACGTGTGCCAGTCGCACGGCGCCTTCCAATGGACTGACTGCAGTTGCATAGGCGGCCTGATGCGCTCTGCAGAAACGAATGCCCAAACACGACAGGATAGTATGGAAGGTGCTCTGGCCGACCTAGAGACGCTCATGATCAAAGCTCGGGACATGATTCGCCTCTCAGCCGAGCTCAACGAACGGCTCACGGCCATGTCTTCCGTCGCACCTGCTGCAGATGCTCTCGCTGCCCCATCTGTTTCATCATCAACTCACGCATCAGCCTATGCGCCAGGTACTCTGATTCCTGGAGCGCAAGCCGAGGATGCCACACTTCTACGCTCGTCACTTGCTCAGCTCGGTCTGCATATGGAGAACACACCGGTTACTCTGGATATGATCCGCGACGAGAAACGATGGCACGAGGAACTTGCACGCGAGCTCGCAGGCGTCTTACAGGGCGACGGACGGCGCGCCGGCTTGATGCGAACCCGTGGCATCATCGGCATAGATGAGGTCTGGGGAGGGTGGAACCGTGCCCGTGGCGTCGGTACGTGCACCCGCATGCATCCTTATAGTCCACCGTGGTAACATTGTTGACACTCGTACCCCTCTTCAGCGCTTATACCACCGGAGACGTTCCTGCAAGTGCTGCCGCATCTTGCAACGTACAGTAATCCTCCCATCAGCGTCCGCAAGTTCTCCTCGTCAGGGCTAACGGTCCTGCACTCACCCGCATACGCACCCATCGGATTCGTTCCGCGATTACAGGGCCTTATAGGGGACAATCGCCCTCGCACGACACTTGAAGTGGCGTGGGCGGAAGACATCCCTGTTGCGCTCGCTGCTGAGATGATCGGGGAGGCGGAAATGGCGGGAGATGTATGTCGGGATGAGGCGCCCGGCGTCGATGTAGTCGGTCTCGGTAGCGAGGGTTCCGGAGAGGTTCGGTGGTGGCTGAACATCTTCCACGGTTATGAATGGGATGGACAGGAATAAGCCAACTGTATTCCATATCGACGTCGAGAACGTGACGACATATGCTCATGAATCGCGATGGGCCATTGTGCCGGGCTCTATCTCGTGCGGAGCAGATCTGGTACGCAGGCGACTTCGAATGGCAATCTTCAACTATATCATGTCGGTTAGGTAGAGTCCTTGACATCGGGCGCATACACACGGCGAATGAATTGCACGTATCTCAATGATAGCCATTGTGCGAGTATCATTCAGTGATCAATGGAGCGCAGGTAGACAGATCGCACTGCCGTGGCAAGCTAGACAGTTGCCAAGTTCGAACGACCTAGCGGAACCGCTGAGCATGCATCTGACAGATACCCGTGCATACAGACAGTGGCGTACTGCTTGATACCAGCGGTTCAGGTCGCACTTCGATAGACTTACCTTCTGACCCAGAAGGACAATTGATCAACGATGCTCATTCGCTGTCGATCTGATAAGACCGGCGATGATTAGCGGATGTATAGTGGTACTCCCTACGCCGCCTTGGGAGTACTTCATAGTCGTGTAACCCGTCCAAGGACATACACGTGGAGGTCAAGGCGGACGTCGCGGACGCTCTCAACCAACGGTGAGCGGCTCTTCTTTGGTATCTAGCTACCTGACGTTGCGAATAGCTATCAGCCCAGTGTCCCAGCCGGCGCATCTCGAGTGGTGCTTCCTCGTTTGAGACGAGCACGTTCAATGGTATCCTGACCACCTTCCTCTGGGTAGTGCAAAAGGGCGCGATTCCGGCGTTTCAGACAGATATGGAGGCATCCAGCGTTTAAAGCGTACAGTCATTGTCTTGAAGAGTCACTGCTGCTCAATATTAGTTGAACAAGGTTGTTTGTCGGTAGCATATCGGGCGCGAGGGGCCACCCTTGATCTCAGAGCTGGAGACACTGTTCTCATCGTTCACGCATTGGACCACCGGCGACTGACCATTTAGTGTGCCAGATGACTGCTTCAGCACACCCGGCGGTACATATGTCGCCATGAGAGTAACAATGCTTGCATTCTCAAGGGAGAAGGGCAAGATGATTGGGTCGTCGACTAGCGTCTTTCTTTGGCCAATGGCGTTCGTCTGCAGAGAAGCATTCTACGGCTCCCGCTTCTCGGGACAGCATACGATCCAATGAGATTCCAATACTGCAGACACCTATGGACGCACGTCGACTGCAGGCGCCGCGGCGGCCGGTCGGGGAGGGAGTGAGAGTGGGACTCGCCGTCAAGTGGCCTCATGCCAACGACGAGCACATACTAGTGGGCGCATGTGGTGTTACCGTGGCTGTATAGTGTGCACCAATGGACAACTGAACATTGTCAAAGTTGTACTCTGACACAGAGCGCTTCGCCTGCTGTCGTTCAAGAGATCGGAGGCGCCATAACATGTCCTCGGGGAATCTGTGATCTCCCAGTTGGAAGCCGCACAACATCCCGGAAACCAGGGCTTGATCGACCATTGAACATTGCTTGACAAGATGACATTATAGCGCTGTAAAAGAAGCAAAAACTAGTAGAATAGCACGCATCATCTACACCGTCTGCGCAATCTTCTTCCCCGCACCGACCCTCGCACCGCTCGCATGACGTCCAACCATGGCCGCGTACTTTTTCTCCTTGCGCGTCTCAACATATGGGTCCGGACGGGGGATGTACCCGTAGCGCGGCATCTCCCTCTTGACGACCTGCTTCCAGATGTTGCTGCTGTCCTCGTCCCAAGTCGCACGGAACATGTGTGCGCCGCCTCCGTCGGTCCTCAATCCATGCTCTTCGACGAATGAGCGAACGTCGAAGTCCATGCGCGCTTCGTATGAGCGGAAGGCGTCGCCGGGAACCTTGATCTCGCGGGTCTGCGGGAGGAGGAGCACCACGTAGCGGTGGTAGGGAGTGCCCTTGGCTGGGTGAGGTGGGACGTAGACCGTATGTGCCGTTGGGAGGTTCAATGGCTGCGCAGCCGGGAGAGTCAAGTTCGGCTGCAACCAATGCAAGAAGGTGGTAAAGGACGCGTTGTGCTCGTCAGGGACGTCCGGGTCGACCATCATGAGCGTGTACTGTTGAGGCTCGGTGTCGAAGAGCGTCGTGTATAGACGGGGCTGTTTGCGTGTCTAATAATTGGGATGCGATGGTCAGTAACCTTTGAGGTACTTAGACCGAAAGAAGACTGACCGAGATGACGGGCACGAAACTACCCGGCTCGACGCTCTTCCAGCGTCCAGCGCGATGCGTCGCAGCATTCATATCGGGCGCAGTCAAGCGCAGATCGAACGAAGGATGGAAGTCCGGTAGAACATCAGGAATGACATTCATCTGGTGAAGACGCTCCATCTACCGAACATATATTTAGTTGTGGCTGAAGCTTTCAGTCACGCGACAAGGCATACCAAAAGGTCGAGTGGACCATCACTCCTCCACCGCTTCTCGACGAGATGCCTGTACACAGGCTGGCTCATATCGGCTACACGAATGCCATTAATACACGTGCAGAAGCATTGTTCGTCAGAAAAGGACATACCCATGCCATTTGCAGCCTTCCACCTGACGTCTGGCAAGTTAACCTTGCCCATGACAGCAAGAATATCCGCGCGCTTCTCCTCCTTCTCCCGCACCTCCGCCGGCACCGCCCCCTTGGCAAGTTTGTTCCGCAACTCGGCTTCCTCCGCCTGAATGGCGCGCGCGTCCTCGCGGATGACCTGGAGCGCGAGGTCGTATGCAGGCAATAGACCCTTGGCAACCGGCCTACTCCATTCCTTCGGGCTGTCCGCTGACAAGACAGGCCTCTGCGGACGTGTGCTCCTGCGTTTCTTGCGACCGCGGGTCTCAGTAGCAGCCGGTGCGTCTGTAGCCGGTGTGCTGGCGGGTGCAGCAGACGCGTCCGATGCGCTGGCAGTCGACGCAGTAGGTGCAGCAGTAGAGTTGGCGCGTACTAAACTACGCGTGACGGTCGGACGGACTCTACGGAGGGCGAGCATGGTGAACGCAGCTGTCGACGCGACGAAGTTCCGCTGGAAGTGAGAGAAAGTCAAGAGGCCGTGTGACGCGCTCGCTCACACTTTATGTACGCTCAAAATTAGCTCGTAAATATGGCAGGATGTCCGAGTGGTCTAAGGAGTGGGATTCAAGTTTCCCACGATTTGTTGAAATCGTGGTACTTCCCGGCGAAAGTCGGGGTAACTCCCCATAGCGCAAGCTGCGCGGGTTCAAATCCCGCTCCTGTCATCGTTTTGCTAGTCTGAGCCTCATCTTTTGACCTAGGGACTTCAAATGAACTCTCCGAACGTACAACAGAGTGTTCTGAAAGGAGGACGGCCTACAGGAGTGCTTCCAAGCGTGTAGACTCACCGCCGGCTGCCATCGAACAGAAGCCCTGTCAACGTCGCGTGGTTAGCTGCAACGGCTGAAACATCCGCCCTGGATTGAACCACGACGTCCTTGCACCGTTCCTCTCCCACTACGCGCATCGCGACCAAAACTCTGCGCTGTATCGCGCTCCTCTCACTCGAGGGCCAGGCATGCGCGCGAGTCGACGCTTTATTCGTATGCATGCAGGCAGGTTCTCGTACAGCAATGGCCGCTCTTTCCTTCGAGCAGTGCGCTGCGTGCCACGCTCATCCAGTCTGCCCACCGGTGGACTTGTGCTTATTCTTGTAGCCGTACTCGCCAGCACGTGACTTCTCGGTAATATCCGAGGTGCTTCCCCATAGCGCAAGCTGCGCGGGTTCAAATCCCGCTCCTGTCATCGTTTTGCTAGTCTGAGCTATATGTTTTGTCCCAGAGAGTCCGGGAGACGTTCTGAGCGTTGAGGACCGCGTCAAGACAGTCTCGTTAGCCTTATAGACGCGAGACGAACTCGAGAGCAGTCGAACAACTCATGAATGGATTCCATCACAAAGAAGCCTGTCACTCGCCACGCGGAGGTTGCCTTCGCCCGCCACCACGAGGCTCGTGATAGGCGGCGTATCCCTCCTCGTCATAATCAAGAGTTTGGCACGATCTATATGTAGACCGGCTGTGAAAGGCTTGCTCGCAACTCTCGTATGAGAGATGGTCACTTCTCAGCCCCGGTATTTGGTCCTTATCGCTCGGGGGGAGAACCAGGCTGGCCGTGGAGTCTACGAATCTATGTGACAGTCGGCTCTCCAAGTTGCCCGTGCGCAATCGAAAACCATCATATATGGTTTAGTGAAACTCTATCATCCTCGGTCTGGGGTGCCGCACTGATATCAGAGACAGTGTTCTCACGTCGGGATCTCCATGAAAGCGTCCAACTCGTGCATTGAAGTCCGTTCGCCCGAATTGTCTCTTCGCTGGCCGTAATACTGACCTTCGGGACGTGTCTATCGCTCCATTCAGGCTAGGTATCATGGGCTGGATAAGGAGTATACCGACTTATTACACCGAGGAACTTGTGCTGGTCTTACATGCGACCCATGAACGAAGCTCATCAAACCAGACTGTCAATCTCACAGACGATGACGGCTGAGAGCCCGCATATCTGTCACGGAGCCGCAGTCTGAAACAGACCGCCTATCTTCTTACATAAGAGACAGTCATCACAGGGTCTTTGTCCGACATCTTTCAAGTTCCGCGCTGCCTATGCTCGTACTAGGTTCGCGATAACTACCGAAGACACGGAGTGAGGGCTACTTGAGCCAAGAATACCTATACGTCTAGAGGACATCGCAGATGATCACCTAAGGACAGTGGATGGATACGGCGAAACTCGCAGGGCTCTGTAGGGGTATGTGACCGATTTGATTGCTGTTAGTACACGATCTACTACTCACCAATCCCGCAAGGTGTTTCAGACTGCCACTATTCGGCTCCGGGCGCCTCTTCGCGCGGCGCGCCCCGGGTCGTCTGGGTCCGAGCCCTCAGAACAAAGATGAGCATTCAGCTCCAGTGTGCGTCGATTATCTGTACACCCCAGAGTGTTGTCAACAAATGACTCCCTACGGTAGGACTTTCCATCTGGCCTACCTCAGAGCACACACGCATGTTTGACAGACCGTCTTACAACCGTGTACATGTCTCGGTGGCTTCATTTTTCTCCCTTTGTGCGCAGATCTTCCGAAGCTGATGGTCCATAGTACGCCGATACCAGGCGCTTCAAATTGTTGGCCCCATGAGAACACGATTACTGAATGGGTTCGGTCCCTTACGCTTATAAGCTGTTGCTCATGCGCTTTCCTCTCTTCAGACCGTCCCCCACATCCTTACCAACGTGGTCCCGTCCGGCCTCCGGGAATTCGCCATGTGGAAGAGGACGAAGTCAAGCAGCTCTTGGAATGGGGATGATGACGAGGGGTTCAGCAGGCGACAAAACAACGCCCACAAAATTTCCTCGATCAACTACCCGGGGCTAGAGCACTACACACGACCCAACTTGAATACACTCGTTCCTCCTTCTCTCCGCACTCCTCCTGACCAACCACTTGGAGGACTTGTACACTATCAAACTTGCTCTGAGATCGCCCGAGGTTGCATCCCCAAGCGGCCGCGCGCGTTCTCTGCGCCCGCGTCATTTCCTTTCCGGGAACACAAGGGCAAGACAACGAACGCTCCCACATCCGACGCATTGCTATCTTCGCGCATTCATCCATCACCTGGGTCGAGGCCTCATCAGCGTATCAGCTGTCCATCATATCCTGAACGTTATAAGTCCGGGAAGTGGTGCTGGGCCTGTCTCCCAGAGGCGGGTCAAGCATGGGTGTGGGCCTGGGTACCCAATATTCCACCTTATGCTGGTGTGGGTTCCCCTACCGGCGGCACCTGCGCCTTCATCCCAGACCCTGGTAGGACTCTTCGCCCGCATGCCGCAGGCTCCTTGATCGTCAAGGTGCGACAAGGGCAATGTCACGACGGAGGCGGCAGCTCGTACACCGTCCTTGCGGCCGATGTTCAGCAACAGTGGAAATGGCTACGCGCTTGGGTGCCTAACATTCCTCCTGGTCCACCGCTCAAGCCGCACAACGCTTGGGAATGGGCGCATCGCAGCCCGCCCTCACGACATGCCCATGTTATTCCTGTCGTCGAGGCGGCGGGCGCTTGCGGCAGACTCTGATGTGATCTAGAAGATCGCATTGTGGGGCGTCATCTGTAATCTTTCTGTTCGTCTCTATATGACACCTTTGACAGGTCTCGCACTGTATCATGATACCACCTGGGCTGATCCCATCTATGCGTTTCTGGCGATTCTGAACTATTGACTTTGCTTCCCGTGCAACGCGTTCGCGGGCGGCGCCGGCCGCACTCATCCATCATTGTGTAATATATCCAAAGTACTACCCACCACGCCAATCTGAACTTGACGACCCCCTGCCTGGCTCACGCCTGTTCACACATACCACACACCATTCCTGGCTCCCATCACGCAGGTCTATCACGCACCCTTCCCGGCTCACCTACCTACCTACGGACACTCCGGACTGCCTACCGTTATTGCATACCCACCCCCGTATACTCAGTCTACTCACAAGCGGCACTACGTTGTGTTTACTCTACATTTTCACTGTGCCGCCTACACGCCGCGCTGAAGGGCCTGAAGGTGTGCACCGTTTTGTGATGCTTCGTCGCGACGGCAGCCGGTAATCGCGGGTCGCATCTGCACGTACAAGCTCTATGCGAGCTGGGCATGCCATAGCGCGTCACTGGCTGCCGGTTGAGTCTACAGCACGCTGGTATCCAAAGGCCTGAATTGCACTGCAAAGGGCCTTGGATGAGGTGGATGAGTAAACCCTAACCCTAATGACACTCTCGGCGCGGAACGGGCCAACCCCACTCAGTCAGGCGCTAAGAGAGTCTGGGGCCACGAACAACAAGAAATCCACAAAGCATCAAGTGAGAGACAAGTGGATTGATTGAAGAGATATAGTACAGGTCGTAGCATTACATGGAAGATACAGGTACAGTGTTCAATGTTCAAAGCAAGCGTAAATCAGGGATCGGTGTATGGTCGTATTGATGAAGGCAACGACAACGCTTAGCCGATGTTGTAGAGCGCGGGGCCAGCAAGGACATGGCCCTCAATGAGCGACAAGTTGTACGGCGTGACGGGAATAGCAGCATCTGTGATCAAGCAGTACACCGTGCCGTTAAGCAACGGAGTCGTGCCAGCGCCATAGACCGAGTCGAACGGCTGAATGGTGTAACCCGTGTTGTTCGAGCCGTTGTTGACAGTCAAAGGCGTGTACGTCGTGTTGAGCTGGCTGATCCAGGCGACATACTTCGGCTTGCCGTCGGCGTACGACTTCGTCTCGTACGACGCGTTCCAGCCGGTCTTCTCGCCGGCGTCGTGCCAGGTGAAGTTGACCTGACGGCCAGGATAGGTGACCATCGTCTCATTCTTAGAGATCGCGGCTTGGTTGTTGAGGTCGGGCCAGTTGGGGTTGTTGTCGATCTCGAGCGTCGGGAACGCGGTCCACTCGACCTCGGGCGAAGAGGCAGGGCAAGAAGCGATGTAGGGCGCGAGAAGCGTCCACTGCATGCTCTGAGTGATGCTCGTCGTGAACCAGAACTGCGACATCACACGTCAGCATCACGTGCAAATGTTAACGGAACGCAGAGAACTTACGGGCATAGGGAACAGACCGGAGAACTGACGGAAGACCATCTGTTGGCGACCTTCCGTCTGAATAGCGTCGTTGATGAGCGACGCCGAGTCCTGCGCGTCCATGTGCCCGAGGAACCCGATCGTACCGCCCTCACCGAAACGCGTGATGAGACGCGAGAACTCGATGAAGTCGCGGACGGAGGTGAAGTTCGGGTAGTTGTACTGGCATTGGTATGTTGGCTCAGGGCCAGTCCAGTTACCCTCGACTGTAGGGAGTCGTCAGTTCCGCGAGTCATCACGACGAAAGACGCGAAGACTTACATCCCATCATGTTGGCAACGAGCTGCGCGTGGCCCTCCTCTTGCTCCGCCATGAACTGAAGAAGATACTGCTCCTCCGGGCCGATGCCGGCGTTCTGGAAGTCATCGGCGCTGAAGAGCGCCAGGCCGTGGTGGAACAGGTCAAGCTCGATGAGCTCCTGGTGAAGACCCAAGTTCAGACTCTGGTAGTCATAGTCGCTCTTCGCCTGGTACGTGGGAGTCGAGTTGAAACCCTGACCACCGCTGGGCTTGATGAGGGTCGGCTTGGGGCCGGACGTGGGCGTCACGATCGAGAACGAGGGGCTGCTCGTCGTCGTCGCCATCGACGAGGTCATGTTCGCAGCTGCCGAAGTCATGCTCGAAGACAAGCTGGAGGTGGTGTCGGAACTCATCGACGAGCTCGAGGTCGAAGCCGCGGATCCGGTGACGGAAGTGAACTCGGCAGACACGGCGGAGACGACGGCGGAGCCAATCGCAGAAGTAGCCGAGGCCAGCGCCGAGGTGACCTGGCGGCGGTCGACCTGCTGGATGACAGGTGTACCCTCGACGAGCAGCGCAGCCGCGAGCAGTTGGAATGTGGGTGAGAAATGCATGGCGGCGCAGTGCAGTGAGCGCTTGCCGAGTAACCGAGTTCATCCTTATGTAGTCTTTCCTCTCCTAAGGCGGAACGAGAGGCCTCTGGATGATCATCGAAACAAGAAGCAAGACATCGAGCGCAGATATGACGAATGACCTGACGGGAATCCGCCTCCGGCGATAGTGGAATGTGGAGATGCAGTGACAATGTGAGCGGCGAGCGCTCGAGTGGCACCTCCTGGCGCCGGCTGCGCAATGCATCTCAATCTAAGCGTCGAACTGGTATACCCTCAAGAGAGGTAGTCTTGAGCTTGACATTGTCTTTGGCCAAGGTAGACCACTGTGCACAATACTACAAGCGTGCTGGATCAGGGAAGGCAAGACAGCTGGCAGGGGTCATCGCCGACGCGGGCGATGACGAGCGCCTTTCGTCAATCGTAAAGCCCGTTCGGAAGCCGCTTCGAGACTCGGCATAGAGTTGAGAAGCGTTTGGGCAATAGGGATGACGCCCACATGTCCCGATCTGTTGCCTTAGTTTCCTTGGAACGTGCTATGTCGGTTCGGCATGTCGTGAAATGCTCGGACATGGCGGCTTCGCGATGTGGATTGTGGAGTGCAGGGTGTGCACGGTCGACGAGATGGGGCGAAGGGATGGTCGTCGACCGCACATTGAGGTCGTAACCCGTCGCTAGGGCATAGGCATAGAACTTGATAGTCGAGCTCGACGAGAAGGGTAGTAATGGGAGAGGGGTTGTCTATAACAGCATCCGCCCGGGTTCTGCTGACTGAGGCTTCAAGCACAAGGGCGTAGACTATTGCATAGAGCGCGAGTTAGAGAAAGGCGGGTAGGTAGCTCCATTATCAGCTCTTCCAAGAATGGAGTATGCCAAATCGCGGACATTGGGCCGGGGCCGGCACCCATCGAGCATAGGGATGGCAGTTGGAAGGAGCCTACGCGTCAACGACGCGTCGGACGCGACTGTCTCAGATCCGCACTATGCACGTACATTATTTAGCGCTTTGATCCGTACTTGATGCATGCTAGCTGTCACTTCTCAGTGAAGCATGCGCATGACAGTATACGAACATATATCGGTGGCCTGACCACATAATTGCAGGGACAGAAGTCGAGCCTGGGCATTAGCAGCAATGCAAGTCATACGCGTCGCGTCATGGCTAAACGCGGTCACGGACGTTGCCGTGGAGCGCTACACGCTTCAACATGCGAAGATGGCCTGCTTGATCTCAACCACCACCTCGGGCGACGAGATCTAACAGGCGCTACCTAGACCAACTGTAGTATACTGTCAGCATAACTACACGCGTGATATTGTGAGCATCATTTGCTGGGTCCAATACCAGAGACCGTAGTCTCCGTGTTCAGAACGCTTCGTTGACGCGTCGTGCAGCGTGGCCTTCTACGTGTACTTGCCTTACCACGACCCTTGAGAGTCGATACGCTCGTGCAAAGTGCACCCAATCTCTTATCGGCCGCATTCTTGGCCTCGCAACGTGCTAAAACTCTACACCCCTGCACAACATAGTAACCACTGCTATAACATCTTGCCATGGCTTCACCCACGGCGTACCTTGACGCCCTCTTGACGACACTAGACGACGACACGAAAGACCTCGCTCAGGGCTTATTTTCAAGCCAAACTCCAAAGGCCCTAGTAGACCTCCTCGTGCGCCTTGCAGCCGACGCGCCCACAGGCCCTCCGATCCAACCCAACAGCCCCTCTTTCCTCACACTTTACGGCCAGAATTGGTCCGAACGCCGCGATGCAGCCCAAGCCGAACTCAGGCGTCTCCATGCGAAACGTAAACGCTCCGCTACGCCCCCACCAACACCTGCCAAACGTGCAAAGCTGTTGCCGGCAGAGTTACCACCGACGCCTGCGCCCGCCGGACCAGACCTCGACGACGCGCCTGTCTACACACTCCACGCTCTATCAGTTTCCGCGCCTATGCGCAAGAAACTTGACATCACGCTCCACCAACGCAGCATTCGCCTCGGCGAGGCGTCCTTCTCCCTAGCCACCCTCAAGCGCGCCTTTTTACTCCCCACTCGCGGCAAGTCGAAACCACATTGGACGGTAGTGCTCATGTCTGCCGATCAGGCGGTGAAGCCGGTCAAAGGAGCTGCCATCGAGGGATATCAGGTCGTTTTTGGCATCGACGCGGAGCCGACGACTGCGTTCGCCAGTACCGCGCACCCAGCTGCCAAGGAGACACACCCAAAAGGCAGTCTTACGCGGCCGGTGTTGCTGGAGTTCCTCCGTAAACTGCCCATACCGTTCTACGAGCCGTCTTCGAACGTGTTCGCGCCTGTATCCGGAGCTGGACTTGGCATAGCGGCATACCGCGGCGCGAAAGAGGGCACCCTGTGGTTCCTCGCCGGCGGTGTTCTGGGAGAGAACAAGCCGTGCGAGTTCTGGGCTTTACCGGACATCGACGATGCGGACGACGCGGTGCGGATGATCAGTGCTACGGGGAGGACGTGCACGGTATTTGTGCGGAGAAAGGGTACGGTGGAAGGGGAAGAGGAGTATGAGGGCGAGGAGACGGATTTCGGCATGGTTGAGGGGAGAGAACAGGATGGGATCAGGCAGTGGGTGAGGAGGTACCGGTCGGCGTTTGGGAAGGATGCGACGGTTGCGACGGGTTCGGGTGATGCATCCGGGTCGAAAGACGCTGAGGCCGGGGCGAACGGACCTGCGCCTATGCTCGATGACGATGACGACGACTCGGACTTTGGCGTCGATAGCGACGACAGTGATGGCGGGTCTCCGACCAGCTCGAGCGACTCTGACGACGAAGAGGCGCCAGGCTCGGGCGGAGAGGCAACTGGCTCAGATTCTGAAGAAGAGGACGCTGACGGTGGAGAGGCTGAGGAGGAGGAAGAAGATGGGCCGCTCGACCCCGCCCGGCATCCTCTCATGCGAGCTGGTGCAATGCCAAAGATGAATAAGGCTGCCATGGACATGGCCGTTGGGATGGTCGTCGATGAGCTCGTTGGCGGGCACGATGTTGAGCAGGATGGCGAAGAGGACGAGCTAGACGACTGATACCCTGATGTAGTTGTATAGAACGTTATTACATTATAGTACACACAGCAAAACGACAAGTACGAGGCGTGAAAAACACGTAAGTAAGATGCAGAAGTCGCCGTAACGACGGCGTTTTGGGTTCTGGGAAAGGTGGATGCACCTCAGGCAAAATGAATGCCCGCGTCATGGAACGCTGAGAGTAACCTAAGAAGCAGATGAGGAAAACTGGCGAGATCACCGAGTCGCGATTGCTCACCTCAGAAGGTCGTTGATGTCCATCTTAGCTGGTCGGCTCTCCGACACGCTGAGCTCGTCCAATATCTCCTTCACTTTCGCCTTCATGTTGAAGCCATCCTCAATCATCTGCGCAGTCTGGTGAGCGGGCGCCCTGACATCTGCAAGTAAACATCCGCATCTACCTTCTCGTTCTCCGAGCACCAAGTCTTGTAGTTCGACTCAAGCATCTCGAAGACACCCTTCGCCTGGAAGTTGGCATGTACCGTCTTATTTCTCCTCGTGAACAAGATACGCGTCAAGCCGTCGAACTCCTCGAAGCGAACAGGCGGGGGTGGATCAAGCGGCACGATCCTCACGACCGAGCTCTCCACATCTGGCGGTGGCCTGAAGTTGTTCTTGCCGACATTCATGACATGGTCCACTTTGGCATAAAGCTGCACGTTGGCGCTGAGCCGTGACCAGAGAGCAGAACCAGGTTGAGCCGTGAGGCGCAGAGCAAACTCGCGCTGGAACATGAGGATTGCGACGCGGAATAGAGGGCGGTGGGAAAGGAGGCGGAAGACGAGTGGCGAGGATATTTGGTACGGCGTGTTGGAGATGCAGACGTCAAAATAGGGTAGGGTTGCCTTGACGAAGTCGCCAATTATAATTTCTAGGCGTCTTTGTTCGGGTCTGCCAGTAGACGTGAGTAAATGGTCCCGATGGAAAGAAATACTGGGTGTACTGACTTTCCCTGAACACGCTTCGTCAACTCTGCAGCCATTCGGGGGTCCATCTCCACGGCCGTGCAGTGTTTCGCCTTTTCCAGTATCCGCACTGTCAAGTTACCCGTACCGGGACCGACTTCGAGCACCTTGTCCGTCGGCCGCAAGTTCGCCTACAAGTTGCATCAACTGCGCTTTAGAATGGCTGATCCAGAAGCTGTTCATAGCTCAAGCACACCTTGTCGACAATACTGTATATGAGCTAAGCTGCGAGCACTAGAATAGAGTCATATGACATACTCTTGTGCGATAGCAGGGTTCTTCAGAATATGTTGTCCGAAGCGCTCGGTGTTGAAGATCGGATTTCTTGCGGTGCCGCTCGAGGAAGACTCGGCATGATTTTTCTGAGCTTTCGCCGAGGGCTGATGTGCTCTTGTAAAGTGTCCGGACGTTGCGCGAGGCATATCGTACAGAAAGTGAAGGGATAGATAGGGGAGTCGGGTACGGTGCCAATGAAAGCCCGAGGACAAGCTACAAGCGCCTGCTCAATTTTGGCGTGCCTCGAGAAGCTGTGGCTCACACGTGGCTTTTATTTAGAGTAGGCGTTTGATCCGACCATCCCGACAGCCGCGGTGCCGCGTGCCGTACGTTGTTTCCCGTTGCCATCCCGTTCCGGCCTGTATTCAATACAGACAGCTGTGGCACATCGCCGTAGAGGATGGCAGGCGTCGAGTTTGCTGATCCAGTATGAGCACAGTACTCAGAATGCGATGAACGCTGCCCTTCTCGATCCGCTCGAGGACTCGGAGACACAGACTCTTGGCTCCGACTGCGTGGACGCCTCTGATGTCTCCAGGTCCGACTTGTCGACATCTTCTCGAGGCCGTATGCTCTGATCAATATAGGCGAAGCTCATATTCGTCATCTCGGCTCGCGTTCAAGAGTTTGAACCCCGCGACCGTGCCCTAAGTATAAAGACCCGCATGCTCATGATGTGGGGCTGGCTTTCCCTTTCCCCCTTGTTGCTTGGTCCCCCCTTCACGCTTGTGCACTGTCCCTGCGAGCGCGCTAGAGCCATGGTCGATTGGCGGGACCCTGAGACCATGCTCATGCAGGCCGGTACGTGCCGCTTGAGAGTGCAGGAAGTTCATCTCAGCGAATGAGGTATAATGTGTAGGGGCCATGAGCAAGGTCATACACGTCATGGATGGGATCTACATGTGCGTCTACTACTCTCTCTGGATTCGTACGCGACATACTCATGCTGCGAATTTAGTTGGGACTTCTTATCTACCTGCCGATACGAGGTAAAACCTTGACGATATGCGCCGGCACCTCCGGACTCAACCGTCCCCAACGCAGGTTGAGCTTTTTCGAGGGAGAATATCTTTCCGCTGGACAGTGTGGGTACGTCAAACCCGCCCGTCACGCAATACGTTGTCTGACATGGACCCAGCTCTACCTGGGGTGTCGCTTCTTCACGTTGGCTGAGGTCGCCTCCGACCTCGCGGGCTTCAACATATCCACTCGCTTCAACTGCAGACTATGGGTAGTGCTCATTGACGTGCGCTCAGTTTCCCAAAGCTCTCGTGGACTTGCTCATTTCCCGTGATAACCAGACCTTTGCGTATACCGCGTCCTCATTGGCCATGGCGTTATACGGCATCCGGACGTGCGATATCCCCGGGTTTACAAATAGTCCGATGGCAGGCTGACAGCTGTACAGGATCGCGATCTGGAAACGCGAGCCGTACATCATTGCTATGATTATCGTGATTATGATAGTCAATGTTGCCCTCTGGATTCGCAGTGCGTGTCTCCTGTCCCATTCTCAGCACGTTCTCCGCTTACCACATAACAGCGACTATACTAGTGCGCACGACGTGGTACATGCCTGACATATGGTACTCACGTCGCGTGTGCTATAGATGAAAGCAGACTGGGACCCAACCTATAGTACATGCTTCTTCATCAACACCGAAGTTGTGGGTCCCCCTTGTCCCACGTCTGTTTATGCGTTCTACCGCTCATACGATCACTAGGCATTCGCATCCATCATGAGCGTTCTTGCTTCTCATGTCATACTCTTGACGGCTATGGTCGTCGGTATCTTGCGGCATAAACCCAGGTGGAGCACGCTAGTATGGAGGTTCGGGCGCGAGGTGAGTTTGATGAATTGTATGCGAGACTTGGGACTGATCTGTGCTGAAGGGCGTCTGGTGGCTATCTATGTCTACATGTGTATTAATCGTGTGCGCTGTACGTCGACCGCGTCTGTCGTGCGCTTGCAAAATGGCTGACTGCATCTGCAGACATTCTTGGCGCTGGATCTGAACGGTATGCTCTGCACATAACTCTAATGCACGCGCACGGACTGCTCATCGTAGCTTTGTATAGACGTGATGAACTTGGTGCGTTCGTGTGTAGCGTGTCCGCGAAGCTGGTACTGAGCTGTAGATGCGTTGGGTAGATGTTCCAAACGCCAACCCGTATGTTCATTCACATTGTATTTCCTCACTTCGTGCCCTGACGCTCTCATACGTGCAGTCATCTGTATGTGAGTACCCGCGTTAGTCAAGCCCCAGTATTACGATGACGCTCAACATATTGTTAGTACTATCGGTGCAACTAGAATCTTCCGATCCATCTACATCGGATACTCTGGCGACCTGTAAGACTTTGTTTCTTTCAGCACTAGAGCCATCCTCCTGACCGACTTCAGCTTCCAGTACGTGGAAACCTCCGTCGACAACCGGGGTAAAGTGCATTTCCGACGACGTCGGATGAGCGGGCCGGGATCGGTGCCTGACTTGACCGTCCCGTTGGACGACCTCAACGCCGATGATCGCGAGCGCAAGCGCTTCGTGGAAAGGTTCAAAGCGCGAGATATCAAGTTTGGAGATGGCACCGCCCGCGATTCGCTGTCTGGCATCGATGGTCTTGAGCCTGCTGATGTGAAGAGTACTGATCTGCCCGAACGGTCGTCGAGAGCGTCCTAGATATACTAACCAAGAAGTCTAACCGTGTTAAATTGTACGCTAATCTTGCTTCATACCCCTCGCCAGTGTTATCTTACTCTCGTGCTTGTTACATCGTGTTCATATGCTACAGATAGTACTCTCTTAGATCATCCTGTATCTCAAGCCTTGTCGGCCTTGATCCACTTCTTCGGCACGCCGGTCTGCTCCAGGAATTCGACAACAGTTTTGATCTGCTTGCCCTGCACCAAGACTTCCTCCGCCTTAGAGGAACCTTTGACAGGGGACACTACAAGATGATAAGCAGCTGGGAAGTCACAGATAAAGGTGCGGCTTACCAGAGGTCGAGGTCGCACAGCGCGTGCGCAGCGTCTCGGCAAGGTACTCAGAAGACAGCATGAACGGCTCATGCCCGGTGATAAGTGTGCTCTGCTTCTTTCCTTGCCGCGCCTTGACCGTAACAGAGATGGGTTGCAACTGTCCCTTCCTAGGTGTACCTATCAGCACAACCACCCAGTCGCCGTTGTCAAGACACAAACGAACTTGAGAATCGGCTCGGAGGAGCCCTGCTGTATGCGGTGCCATGGCTGCATCTTCGCGCACAGCGCCACCATAAGCTCCTCGCGCTTCAAGAACTCGGGCACTCTAGGCGGATTCTTTCCCGTCTGAGGCCATAGCGCCTCTCTCAGCGTCGGATCTGCGTCCGTGTTGATGAACATCTGTTCGGACTTGTTCACCAGATCATGCGAGTCGACGTAGGCGTTCAGAGCGGCTTTAAGGTCCGCCAGCGTGTACATCCCCGAAGCGCTAAGGTAATTGAAGGCCCGATTAGCCTCGGATGTGGTAGGAGATAGACCGTGCGTACGTACTCCAGTTTTGCCTCTTCGAAGAGTCTGATGGTCGTCAGATGCGGCTTCCAGAGCTCCTCCACCATGATCTGCTTCTCCTTCGCTTCGTTCGCTGCATCACGCTTTCCCTCACGCTCTTTCTTTTTCTTCTGCGTATTCTCATAGTCGCCGACGGTCGAGTGAATGCGATGTAGGATCACATCGTCGGCATCGCTGTTCAATGATAAGATGTTGACTTCTCCACGCGCGTCCTTGAGCTTCAATAGACCCTGCTTTTCGGCCTGTTTCAAGAACGCGCCGAAAGATTTGAAGGTCGAGTGCTTGATATCGACGGAAGTTGTAGAATGGATGGTTCGGATGGCCCGCGAGGGAAGAATGTGACTGGTATAGAAGGTGGACGCCGCGATGGGGAAGGCGGGAGACGAGGTATTCGACGTTTTGATTACCTGTAGAAGAGCATCCTTGAGAGCAGCCGAAACTTCTGTGTGATACAATTAGTAAGGGGCGTGCGGTGATGAGAGTACAGACAACCTTCCGCAGTCATAAAGAACTTCTCTTCGTCGTCGAGTGCAGCTGGTGAGCTAGAGCCAGGTTCGAGAGGAAGTTTGCCCCGCTCGTCCGAGCTTGCACCTGGGACAAGCAGAGAGATATCGTCGCCGTCTGTAGTAGCGTTCGAAACTGGTGGCGGGCCTGCCGAAGCACCGCTTTCGATGGGAGCAGGGTGTGCTCCAGAAACCGAGAAAGGAGTGGCTTCTGGAGGGTTCGTCTTGGATCCCAGGGCCCACAAGGAATCCTTGAACGTGTGTACGATAGTCGCGGCCTTCCCCTTGTTGATGTTCTCCTTCATGATCCTCTCGCCGTCTATGATCATCCGTCCGACGGCGAGAGCGGGTCCCATAATGTTCGTGCCGACAGACACTAGTTGATCCACTTTAGGTAAAGTCATCATCTGAGCAACTAGGCATCAGTCAGGCGCGTACAGCACAGAAGCAGTTCTGTACGGACTCCCAGCGGCCATCAAGTCAGCGCCATTCATGAGTATTGGTATAACCGGGGCTGGCACGGTAATGGTTGGTATAAGCACCGGCCATTTCCATAGAGTATACACTGTTTCATCACGTTACCAGAACTCTCGCGTTTCGAATTTAATCATACCTGTAGGAATGAGGTCTTCAGAGTCCCGCCCAATCGTGAACCAGAGAGGATCGCCCCCAGAAGCGAGGTATACAATCTATCACCAAAGGTAGCTTAGCACACACGCGTTCCAACTTCTTGAAAATAGCTCGATTACATACACCAGGGATTCCAGCAGAAGTCGTGATCTTTTGGCTCAGGATACCCTCCGGTACAAGTTCATCACCATTCTCTGGCTCGTTCGGGCAGAAACCCCGCACAACGCGGTCGCGGAGTGCGCGCCGATCCGAGTTGCGCAAAGGCGCTGAAGGCAGCGACCTTGAGCGGATGATTCTGCGGGGACGAACGTTCGAGATCGCATACCCGATGTCTTCACCTGACGAAGGTTCTTCTTGAACATGGCGGGAGGTGCGCGACGCGCCGATGGTGGTTGTGAGAAAAGGGCGTGACCGTGCCGCTCGTCAGCACGTTCAGGGCGCACGGCGCGCGCCTTCGACGCGAACCATCACCATCACGTCCTCGGCGGTCCCTGGACCATCTTTCTTCCCCGCCTTTCTGTATAGACATCGGTACTTTCCCTTATCCGCATCACCTGAGAGGGACGCTCGAGGACCGGTGCATGGCATGGGTCTGCTTCTCCGGCGACGAGAAGCGCGACGGAGGCAGTGAGATGGGTTACGTGTAGCACAGTTCTGTGCTAGCTCGCCCGATGCTACCATATCTGCACTCTTTGAAACCGCCCACTCGTCATGAATGCTATACGAAGAATACGACAGTATCCGTCCCACAAGTCATGATCGCCGTAAACCACGCACGGGATGATTGCAACACGCGCGCCCTGTTCCTACCCCAGTTCCCGCGACCAATGGGTACACGAACGTCTCAAGATCTCTATCTCGCGTCTCGATTAGCCTGTTTGTACACACGCTCGGCTTTGAAACCGAATACGTGAATACCTTTGGAGAAGGAAGGCTTCCATGCCGTTCCCGCCCTCAACTGGGCTTCCCACCTCGATGATTCATACGACCCTAGACGAGCTGTGTATCACCTCCAACCCAATGCATCTTCACCTCAGACGGGTCCCACTTCACCTTGAAGAGAATGGTGTCCGCGGATCTCGCTCTTAGCATCATCTTTTCCGAGCTTTGTGGCGTTGAAATCCGCCATTGTGCGAGTCGGACTGTACGACATCTGCTGATGATCAGTCTTCCGAGCTTCCTCCCATGCAGAATGACGATTGGCTTACCGTTTGTGATAATCTGTTCGTATTCTGGATACCTATGATTGCATCCACGTCTGATCAGGTGCTTGCCGTTAGTACAAAGGTGCAAGGCCACTGCTCATCCGCTCGTCGCGTTTCCCGTCCCTCCAAGATGAACGCCGCCGTATACGCTGCGGTAGACGCTGGTACCGTCTCCCAACTGTATGTCCTATCTGATTGCCGATGCTTTGCCCAATCTAATCGCCGTCCATAGGTTAGCACCAGACGTGCGTGTACTGCTCGTCTGCCTCTTTGCTGTAGCTAACGACCGTGTCCGGGTCAGCTCGTGGGCATCCTGATCAGCTACGTGCGTTAGCTGCTACCCACAGGTTTGCTCGCCGTTCTGACGCCGATTAGTTCCTCTATGGCGCTCTGTTCCTGCAAATGTGTGGGTAACCGCAGCGCTCTTGCGAGAAAGCGTCGAGCTTAATTGTGCACAGTCACATATATCACGCACTTTCGACGCGACAGATTGATCGTGGCGGTGACAGGTGCGTCTTCCCAGCACGCGATGATCGAGCGCTCGACCTGATCACTGAAACGCTTGCAGTTTATGGTGTCTTCCTTGCCGAAACTCTACTCCTCATCGTCACAACGCGCGTGGTCTACGCACTTCTGTGTGAAGGTGAGATACCTCACGCCCTACATGTACTGGCGCTCACCATGTGCGGCAGGCTGGGGAGATCAGCAAGCGTTGAATCGGTTGACATGGGTGGATGCTTTCATACCGGTACTGTCGGGTGTCAGTGAGTCCTGCCCAGTATACCTGGTGTCGGATGAGAAAACTGAGCCTTGCAGTATCCGGTGGCGTTCAAACCTTCTACGCCTTCAGGATCTACATACTTGGAAGGAGAACGATGACTTGGGCAAGCGCTGCGTTGGTCACCGTTCCAGTACGTGGTGTGACATTCAAAGGGTATTCCAGCTGCTGACAGCGGATAGTTCATGATTGCATCTACCATCGGCGCTTTGTATGCGGGCTTCAGAGTAAGCCGGCAGTTACGGTTGAGTTATATGCGTTGACCACCTCTCAGACTATTGCCGACACGTCTCTGGCGGCCATCCAGATCGTTCAGCCAGCGATCATTGTGAGCAGCCGTTCTTTCTCTCGGGAAGCCTTTCAGGCTGATCATCACGACTTGTAGGTATGGCTTGTGTGCTCCATGGTATGCGATATCATGATAGCAGCGTCCATGACCATTGTGGTGAGTATACGTCTAATGATGCTGTACCTCGTGTTGAAACGCCTTCTAGCTGGGCAAGTCTCGAAAGATGCTTCGTTGGTCGAATGACAAGTACACCGAGATGAGGCTCACACGGGTCATCCAGCTATCTGGTGCGTGCTCTTCACAACTGTGACTATCTGTGCTGAACAGATCCACCAGTGGAGGCTGGATTCCTGACCATGGCTGGCACCGTAATCATGCTGGTCTTCTTCTTTGCTGTGCCTAAGAGCCGACTATTCACCATCATGTGAGTTTTCTAAACCACGCAATGCGCTCGTCTTGGCTAATCTGCACTGCAAAGGGGTTTCATCAACTCCAAGCTCTACTCCAATTCGCTCATGGCCCAACTCAACTACCGCGTGACCGACGCCTCGCGCGAGCCGTCCCGCCAGAACGCGAGTGGAGGATCCGGCAGTGGTCTTACCTTCAATTCGGGCGGTGGAGAACGTCGTATATCCGCTGCGGTATTCAGCCCATCGCGCCGTCCAAAACAGATGATGCGCGAACCTACACCGATCAAGGTGAATTCTATGATGCTCTCTGTCATTGGACGAGAACTAAGAGGGCCATGGCAGCAGATGACCGTGGAGGGATTCGATGATGTGGGAAACGCTGTACCGTTACCAGAGTTGAAAATAGGCTCTAGAATGTCCATGGAGGGATTCACTAATAAGGAGGCATTGGCGCGAGAAGATTTTTCAGAGGCGGGGCATGCCGAGGCCATGTAGTAGCGGGAAGAGCCTCTATGGACTCTTGCGATTTTGGGAGATTAAGTAGTTATGTATTTTATTGTACACGTGCATTGTGACAGCTATCGGAGAGTATGAGCCTGGTCGTCTCATTCACAGGCGCAAGTGCACTCGAAATAAATATGGTGGTAAGCCGACATTAATATTGCCACGATAATGTGGCAATATTGTCGGCCGACTCGCTGGTCGTGGGTCCAGATTGAAATAAGTAGGTCCGCATTGTGGTGAGAATTCTGGGCGAAGGCTTGAATCCGCGACCCAAGCTTGGTCTGAACCGTCATCCTAACCTTGACCATGCATCTATCCGACTCTCATAGCTTCCAAGCGCCTCATTGCGCAGTAACATTAAGCGTGTAGACGTACACTACTAGCTCCCCGCGAGCGTTACCTACTTCCTGGGAACTCGAGCGCGTTTCGGCGTTCGTCAAGCCTGATCCCTTAACGGACCTGCGATCTTCAGCCTATCCTAATGGCTGAAGTACAATCATTGTGGGAAAGACATCGGTGGCCGTGCTGCAGGAGCGTCGTCGGTGCGTCGCCTTCATGTGTATCGTGTTTCGAGCTGACAACGGTCCACAGAAGGATGTTGCTTTGAGGAGAGACGATACGATTACTTGATGTAATAGTTGAAAGCCCCTATCGCAGGCAGAGTATGATAAGAACATTGCTCCATGCCGTCTGCGGGCCAACCGCTGCTGAAGCCCTTATGGGCGGTTGCGTCTCCTACATCGTCCCCCCATGTCAGCATCCCCCATCCTACATCATGTGCCATTCCAGAAGACAACTAAAGACGCGGGAGAATGGGTCTGGGATGCCTCGTTTGAACTCAGATAGGCTGATAGAAGCTCAGTACCACGCGGCACGAGGACGTCCTTTGTCGTTAAGAGCGCTTTGCCACAGCTCTTCACACTCATCCCCCCATCTCCCCTCGGGAGACACAGGCACTGAGAGTTGCAATACCACAAGATGTCTGGTAAGCTGTATTGCGCTGTGTTTCTTGAAACGCGCTTACGAAGTCGTAGAGGACACTGAAAGCGAGGTCTCTTTCCACACCGTCACAAGTGGGTCCAACACTGGCGAAGCGGTCACCACCAGCATAATTAGCAATGCTAACCCAGGTACTTAATTACCACAACACTGCCCACTTCACCCGCACTCACCGTTATGCAGATATGGCCACTCTGCCCATCGATAGCCTATCCAACCGTAGTTCGGCACTACGAGCTTCTACACCGTCTCGTCCCGACAATCCCGATCCAGCACGTCATATCAAAGGAATGTATAGAGTCTTGGATCTCATCGTCGAGCAAGGATCGGGTGGACTTGGTGCATTCAAATCTATGGAACTGATACGCATCATGCTGACACATCGTAGTCGACAAGATCATCATTTTTCAGGAGGGTGTCCAAGAGTTTGTCGAGGACATCTATCCTGGCGCCTACACTTCTATGACTCGCATCGATTTCAAAGCGCTCGATAACCTTCTGCTAAAGCCGATCGGTATTTACGGTAGCAAGCATGAGCTTGTGCGATTCTTAGGCACATTGGGTTCCATCGACGATGAAATGTACGTATCACCGCAATGCTGCACCCGAGTCTAGCTCAATGTCCATCAGCGCGCGTCGTCTACTTGGCCAAGACAAAAACGACCACGGTGAAGATGAAAGCCTTCGCTCCGGTCTCTATATTGTGCGATCTCCTCACGAGCAAGGCGGCATCTTCGTCGTCTATTGGCCTGAGGCCACTACCTGGGACGATGGCGCCGCATCCACCGTGCGCAGGAATAGGGTCACCTTCATGCGGTACATGCAAGTCCCTCAGTGCACCGCGATGTTAACTCACACTATGCTTAGCTATCTCACAAAACTAACCGACCAGGTCGTCGCGCTCATCTCCGATGCACATGCAGAGAAATTGGTGTGGAAGGAAACCACTAGTGCCGATACAGAGACCAGCTCCGACGAGGATGAGTCAGACCGACTGTTTACCTTCCAAGTTTCCAAAACGGTAGCCCAAGAGGAGAATGTCACTGCTCGCCCCGGCTTTCGTGTACGTGAACTCACTGCTCGGTCAGGTCAAAGTTAACAGTGGCGTAGATGACATTGCCGGCCGGTATAGAACTTCATCCCTCACGTTCTACGCTAGATGGTGCTCTCTACCGGACAAAGCTCGTCCGTGGCGAGACAACCCAGGCCTTGATGGTGCCGTTACTAAAAGACCAGCGGATCCGCACCCAGGCTTGGGATAAGGCGCAAGGTCCCGTTCCTGTCGCGGTTATACGTGAATTTCTGTGCGTTGGCCTTTCTTTTTGGCACTCCCGTCCGCATCTGTCTGATTTTGCTATAGGGCTAATGCAGATCAAATCGTGCTCTCCGAGTCTCTGGATCTTCGCGCACTTCGCGCGCTTGCTGATTGCGGCCTATCTACGAGGTTTCCCACCTTATTCTCCAAATGGCAGCGCTGCCATGACGACCTCAGTGCGAAGTACACTCTGGAAAAGAAGCAGCTATTGGGCGATGCGAATAGCCGTCTTGCCGCTAACGACGATCATTTGCGTGACGTCATACGAGAGTCTTATATCAAGAGTCTGGTGCATATTTATCCGTACGCGAATCTTCTGGCTGTGAACGCTCACTTCATCCTGACATGACCTAGCTTTCTCGATACTAGGGAGCTTGGAGGCGAACGCTACCGTGACCTAAAGGTCGAAGCGGGTGGGCAAGGTGGGCAATCAGAGTTTCACCACATGTGTGAGACGAGTATCGCTGATGCACAGATGTTAGCTCCAGATATTGTAGATGGTTATGGCGAAGAAGCACGCAAGGTCTGGAGCGAAAACGCCAAATGGGACAATCTCGGCCACGAATTCAACGCGCTCAAGGAGAGATTTTTAGTGGCATGGTACATCATACACGAGGAGTGTCTGGACCTCCCAAAATTCACCCGGCGCGCCCTTTGCGATGCTATTCTGGTTGACGAACACCGGCCGATGGAGGCCATACTTACTGATGCTCTCGGCCGGTCAGAAAAGGCAAAGAGCTGGGGCGCGACATTTGCCTCGGTAGTAGTTTCGAGGGCCAAGTCAGCGGCCAAGAACCTGGTCCCCCAAGGCTTGGTTCCTCCAGCCATGTTTGACAAAGGCCCCGCTGCAGAAGCCAACAAGATCATGCTGAGAGCGCGTCAAAAGGAAATTCTCACTTTGACCCCCAACTTCCTACTTTCGCTTGGAGGTTTCGCCGAAGCCGACTTTGCCAAGGCCAAAACCGCTGTCGAAGAGAAGGCGAGACTCGCCCTAGCTCGCTTGCTTGACGACAGAGCACGCCGGGCTACGCTTGCCATAGCTGCCATCCACAGAAATCGTGCGGAGCATGAAGTCGAGCAACGGCTGAACTTTGAATATGGTCCAATTTCCCGTGGCTACGACCAGGATCTCATACGAGGCCTCGCTCAAGTGACCTCAATTGTTGATAGGTGCGTCTCGACAGTAGCGTGGGCCTACGATTTGACGCTCATGACCGAGTGGTGTAGACGTGTCACAATCAACGTCTTCGAGCCTTTGAAAAGGTCACCCCACTCGCATCATACTCGCAGTGCTGGTACGTACGGTATCATGTGGCGTTGGGAGCATAATTTTTGCTCACATCTACTAGAATACTATGTGGACGGGCACGCCGAGTGGCAGCAGCGTGCGGAGGTTCAATATACGATCTTGAAGTTCGAGTTATCGGAAGCCGACAATCACTCGCTTAGCGAGAGCGTGCTGCACGTTCCTACACCTGCTCTCAACATCCACCAGCGACAAGACTTCAACCTTCCTCGAGACCAAGAGATCATGTACACATCTATCCTTCTATATCCCGTTCCAATGTTCACGCGCTCTAGCTTTTCGCAGCTTCTCCCTGGCGATCGGTTGCTGATCGTCGTGCGCGACGAGACGAATGCGCAGTTCATGTTCTACTTGGAGCGCCTTGGTCACATGAATGCAGCTGTTCGGCGGGCCCCCGCTAAAAAGGTGTGTAGTGCGCTTCACTGTCAGATCAACAAGCAATATCTATATGTTGGCCTTAGGTGCATATGGGGAAGACGGGGCCAGATATCTTAATCGCATGTGATGAAACGACCCGCCAACTTTGCCTGGTGTCATCAGAACGTGTACGTTCAACCAAACTCCTGAGCAATCAGCCTCTTTTCTCACGTACTTCGCAGCTCAAGGTCGTCACGTTTCTTTTCGACGAGCATTTCGTCACTATCCATACTTTTGGATCAGAGTTGGACTTATCCGCCTGGTATCCGCATGGGACACGGATCTGTCACGTGGCTTTTGCGATTGGCAGAGAGGAAATTCTATTCATCGACTCGTCCAGCTTAGCCCGCCTGTTCTCCCTTGTCACGTTGCAGTTCAAGTAAGGGGATTCTCACTTTCCCTACCACCGTCCTACTCACGACAACCCAGACCAGCGACTCTTCAGCTTCCCTCGGTTCCCTCAGACGTTTTCGCATCTCCTGATGGAGCCTGCTTGATCGTCTGCCTGAACTCGCCTACTGGCTCGTCGTTGGTCGCATATCACTGGGCAACATTTGAAGCTTCTGAAAGCAAGACCATTGACATGCCAGCATCTCCCATCAGGGACTCGATCATGACGTCATTCTCTCGCCGCGCGGCCGTGCACCTGGTCAGCCTTGACCTGGAAACTCGCGCTTGTTCGTCTATTGCTCTGAGCATCACGCAGAAGGCCACCGAGTTCACCTTCTCACGGCGCGATAAGACTCACCATCCTGCCCAGGCAGGTGTATTGACTCATCATAATAGTCTATTTGACTGCCATGCCGACGTCTGGACGCGCTTCCCGGTCGTAGCAGCAATCCGACGTCGGACCGTTGACTCAAGCCGGCGCCGTAACAAGGCATTCCAGTTTGTATCGGCGCGTGAGCACGACCATCCGGCCGTCGCCCTGTACTTCAAACAGATGATCACGGACTTCGAAAAGCGTACCCGCAAGCCGACTAATCGTGAACTCGACCTGATTGATATCACGGCAGCCACCTACGATCACTTCGAAACCAGTCTGACTAGGACGTTATGGGAATGCGCTTCAAGTCTTCATACCGGAGAATGGCTGGTCGATCTATTCTGTCTCATTCCCATTCAGCTAGCGGTCTGTCGCGATAATCAGTTCTGTCCGATGAAAGACGGAGTGCTCTCGGCCGACTTCGAGCGCTCACTCTTGGGGGCGGATGTCACTACCATTGTCGACTTTCTATCGTTCGGCTGGTACGAATCGCTTTTCCAATCTTACTTGGCGGCGAAGGTGCGTATCATCACGACCATTGCATAGACTTTCAGATACTGATTTCTCTCGAAGCCTGTGAAAGTCGTTTCATCTATGGGCGAGCAGTCGGTCGGGAAGAGCTATGCGCTCAACCATCTCGTGGACACGTCCTTCGCCGGGAGTGCCATGCGTACGACAGGTGAGCCCATAGAGAAACACACTGGATGCGTATTGAAAGGATACGATAGAGGGCGTCTGGATGTCTCTTACGCCGACCGACGATACACTGATCGTGGCTCTCGACTTCGAAGGTTTACTGATCATTTCCATTGCGCTCGTAGACGAGTGCTGATGAGGGCTCCTAGGGGTGCATAGCATCGAACGTTCAGCACAAGAAGACGCCCTCCTGGTTCTCTTGAATACAGCACTGTCAAGCCTTGTACTGTTTCGCAATAACTTCTCCCTTAGTCGCGACATCGCGGGCCTTTTTCAATCTTTCCAATCGAGTTCGTCTATCCTAGACCCGGCGTCTAATCCGCATCTATTCCAGTCCACGCTGGCCATCGTGATCAGAGTAAGTAGCCTCATCTTCCGTGCGCTCCGAACTCAACTCATTCTGGAACCAGGATGTTACGGACACCGACAAAGATGAGATCTACCGGGAGTATGTCAAGCGCGCTCAACCGCAATCATCTTCGAACACTGAAATATTCCCGTCATGCAGATTCAGCCTGAAGTTTGAGCGCATTGTGCACGAGGAGCGGGATGCCAACTTCATCACTAAACTCCATTCTGGAAAGCTGGATATCATACCTTGGCCAGTCATCGAATCGAAGCAGTTTTACAAGATGTTCTCCATTCTGAAGAAGCGTCTGGACCAGCAGGCCACGGCCCACGCAAGTGCGGGGGGCTTTCTCCTGACTATGAAGACTCTGATGGCAAAACTGAAGGTCAGTCGACATACACCGTGCAAACACCCATCATCTGACGCGAATGTTCTCTAGGCCAATGATTGGGGTGCAATGTCACGTACGTAGTCGTCTCAGTTTGAGGCCTTGTGCGATTGACGCGGAGAACACGATAGAAACGCTGGCTTCTCACCGTGCAAAAACTCTTCATTCCATGCTTGATCGTGCCCTTTGTAGTGGTGTAGCAGAACTTGAACCCGATATCGAACCCCTGAAGGTTCATCCGCGGTTACTTTGTTCCTATAGTTTACTCATCGAACTTGTTCCAGAACCTCGACACCGACGTAGTCATCGACTGTCGCGACAGTGATACGCATTTCTTCCTTTCCTCCGCTGGCAGCGACTCAAGGCAGCGCGAGTTGATGCTTGGTGACATGATGCATCTCTGGGACGATTTTGACCGGAGACACACGATGGCCGACACTGAGTTCTTCTCTGCTCTTACCCGACATATCACCGAGCTCGTCGACATGCGCATCAATCATGTACGACAATGGGTGGACGAGAATCTCATGCGCTTCCAAACTAGTCACGACAGCATTGACGGACTTCGTCGGACGCTCGAAGCGGCGATAATCGACCTGAAAGCTGGAACTCAACTGTGCGGCTCTCATTGTGCATCATGCGGACTGTTGTGCCTCATGGGCCGTTCGCACGACGAGTCCTTACCTCATGACTGTCACACAACGCACGAGTGCATCCATGATTGCTCGTATTGTGCGTCTGCGGATCTGTCGACGCCGGGGCCGGTGAGGGTCTGCGGGATGAAGTACGTTCGCTCATTCTTGCTGTCGGAGCGTCAAACTGAGTTCACTCTGCTTTACAGAGCCGGACACTCTGGACGCCATATGTGTGTCTTTCTCTGCCTCTTTCTTGTAAGCCATCACTCTGGTATTGATGCGCCAACAGCTGCACTGTAAACTCGCATCTTTGTGGAGAGCCGTGTAAACTTTTAGGCACCAAGGGTTGTCTTTCGGGATGCATGAAGGTAGTCTTATTCCAGCCCCCCCGCAAATAACAAAGCTACATTGCGTGCAGATGCCTGGCCATGAAGATGCCGAACATGCTTGTTCTGCTTCGCTACATAAATGCGGCAAGGTACGTCGGTCCGATACCTCTAGTAAGCGTGAGACAAGCATGTTTACCTGCGTATCTTCAAGCCGTGCGCGTTGATAGGTATCGGACAGCCGAGCGGCAAACCTTACTCGTGCTCGGGCACTTGCGATATAGCCTTGTAGGCGAGGTTCGCCAAGAGCTTATGCATGACATCACTCACCAGATATACAGCGGTGAAGAACACACTGAGCACGCGTGCGAGATGCGCGAGTGCCCTATGTCCTGCCAGCTCTGCAAACGTCTGTGCGCGAACTCGCACCTTCATGGGCTCGAGGCCGACAGTCTCCATCTCTGCGGGTCAGTCGTCTCTCCGCGATGTCGCAGCTCTTTTCTCATCTTCGAGATCAGCCAAGAGCATTCATGCAATGCGCTATGCTCTGCCGGTATCTGCCAGATCGAAACGAAGCCCCATGAAGTTCATGCTACATTCGCGGGTCGTAATGAGACGTTCCAGTACACGAAGGTATGTCATTCAGCGATATCCTTCTTGTTCCTCTCGCTAACTCTACCCTTAGTACACGCAAGGTTTGACAGTGCTATCTCACTCGAGAACGTATAGTGTCGCTCATGGATCCGTCTAGTGACTAAACGCAATCAGTGTTGCAAGACGATAGAGCGTGGGAGGCTGGATCACGATGGACCGCACTTGCATGGCGTCGAGAAGGACCTCTTCCACTATTGCGATAGACAGTTAGTTGGCTCTTCATGATGCTTGGGGTGTACATTATCTAACCGGCTTTGCATCATAGGTGCAATGACTGCGGGTACTACTGTACACTTCCTCACGGTACCTATCTTCACAGTATAGTCTCGCTTGTACCTTAGTGCTCATCATACCGTAGGCCACGCACAAGATCAACACGAAACCAGCCACGGTTCGATGTCCCAAACAAGGTGGGCGGTTGACGGGGAAGACGGCACGAGCATCGAAGTGAACGGCCGTAAATTCTCGGCCAACGATGACGGTGCTCCGATGCTGTGCAGCATGATTTGCTCGGAACTTGGTCGCCACATCCACGTCGACTACTGCCGCTCAACGGATGGTTCTCCCTGCAATACTGCAGACGTCGAGCACATCACGTCCCAGATGAGTCCGAACCCGCGTCGTCCGAAGGATGCCGTTACACACGCACTGTACTGGAGGAGAAGTGGTTAGTTACTATGCTCTCCATCCGGTGGGAGTTTCTCAGGCTGACCTTCCTATAGGCTTCAAAGGTGGAGGCGTAATGCGGCCCATTCCCATATGTGACTGACGACGACTAGACCCGTACTCCAATGAGCTACAGACGACCTTCGCGAAATGGTATGTTTTGCGCTGTACCTGTCCCTCCCTGTGCTCTAAATCCATTCTATCAGCGATGCCATGTGTCCTGGTACAGTCTCTATTGCGAGGCTCTCGATGCCTGCACTTACAGCAAATAGACACAGAGCACACATCCGCAGCGGCCGCTGGCGATCGGCAGCCCTCGTACTGCACGCTGCCAATGTTCCACGCGCCTGCTGCGGTCCCTCCTGTATCGGCCCTCGGCGAGCAAGGGTATGTGTCTTCGGATGGGCACGCTTTCACTTGTACCAATCCAGTTTCGCTTCATCCCGCGTACCACGTGTGAGTGCTAGTACATGCTCAGACATACAGGGCATATACTGATATCTTTCAGCATCTTTGCAATCGACAAGTCAGGCTCTATGGCGTCTACCGACAGATCTCCCCTGGCCGGTACCCCGGTCACCAATGCAATTGTGCGGGTCTCCAACAACCGTCTCGGTGCGGTGTGCTCTGCACTGCACGCCTTCTGGACGGCTAGGCAGGCAAATGCCCGGCTTAGCTCAGGAACCGCCCGACGTGACGCGTACAGCGTGCTCATGTTCGACACGACGGTGGTGCATGGCGTCGTCAACGATGTCTCTAGCTCTCCCGAGGAACTTCTTCAACTGATGTTGCGTCACCGAGCGTCCGGAGGCACCAGCTTCAACAACGCGCTCGACGCGGCCCGCGTAGTGATGGAACAGAACTGGAGTGCGGATAGGTGAGTAGCGCGTTGCTCTCCCATCAGCGCTCGAGTCTGATGAGATCAAGGAAACCTGTGGTCATCTTTCTCTCCGACGGGCATGATCAAGCCGACGAGGGCATCGTTCGCAATCTCTGTCAGACTGCCCTTCGGCTAGGGTAAGTACTATTCTTCTTGAGATTCCGCAGGGCAATCGTCTCATACAGCACCCGCAGTGACCCGCTTTCTCTGCATACGGTGTCCTTCGGCCCAGCCTCGAGCGAGTCAAGCCTGCGCACCATCGCCAGAATCGCCACTCAAGTCCAGGAGCGCGCCAATCAGGCTCAAGGCGCTGGCCTAAGGAGGAACACTGCGTCGTCTGGGTTCTCGGAAGCGCTTAACTCGGTACGTGCCCGCTGTATGATCACAGTGCAGACGTCGACTCATCTAGTACCATCCAGGTCACACTCGCGGAGACCTTCCTTGCCATCGCCGAGTCGCTCAGGAAGCCGCGCGGATCCTTGCTCCGTTGATCTAGTCTGTGGCTATACGTCCAACCTACATGCTGTATCCCAAATCCTGCTGAATCCGTCTACTCGAGTCTCCCGATGTACATTATCTCGTACTGCTACGTTGTCATCCCCACACTGCTGTATTTTCTCATTGCTGTATCATTCTCCTCAATCTATTGTGTTCTTCTCGATAGAGTACAAGGGCGCCGATGGGCAAGGTTGGGGGCCGTTTGGAGCTGGGCTATCACGGCGGAAAGTGGGCGTCCTGCCCGCCGAGTTGCCGCGCGAAGCGCGGGTGTGAGCAGGAACGGGTGGGGAGAGGTCTCGCCCGCCGTCCTCTATGAGAGGGATTGACAGAAGCTGAGCGTAGACACCTTTGCAGCGTCGTAGACGCTGTAAGGTGGGCGCCAGCGCAGCCTGGACGGGTGCGCCATATATGGGCGCGGTCACCTGATTCTGGACGCGCGCAACGCCGCCGACGCGTCACGAGCCTGCGCAGATACGCGAAAGGCTGGTTTCGGACCCAATCTGTGCTGCGAGCTGCTGCGTGCAGGAAATGCCTCTGGTCGGATGGGAAACCCGGAGCCCGGAGAGCGACCCGAGGGGACATCGGGTTCACGAAAGAAACGCCAATCGGCAATCAGAGCGACATTCACACTCAGAACGGCAGTGGCGAGCGTAGTAGTTGTCAAAACTGACTCTCTACGGTACAAACAACATTCCTGTATACGAAGCCCTCCAATACTCATCCCTATCAAAATCTCTACCTTCTTTGACCGATAGCCCTGAGTCAATGCGTACGCGTATAGTAAGCAGAACGAACTCCCTAGAACGAGACATATAGTAAGCAAACGGGATACAGCTGGCTTCTGGCGAGATGGCGCGAAGGCGGGGCCGTGCGAATGGTGCCACAGCCGATCATCTGCCCTCTCCACCAAAAAGCACTAAGCGGCATTCCCGGGTATCTCAAACAGCTGACACCGCGTATAATGCCTTGAGACCGCCTGGCTGACCGTCTGCCGGCGCGCGGACTGCACGATGGACTCGCCGCAGCGGTAGCAGAAGTGTCTGCATGCGCGAAGTTAGACTTTAGCACGCAAGCGCATTAGCAATTGAGAGGGGACGTACGTGTTGCATGCTGGTGAGATGCACTGGAGGCGCGTATGTGAGTGGGAGTGATGAGGGAGGCGG